AGGGTGGCATGGACATCAAGATAGTTAATGATGATGTCATTAACCCTGATAGCTTGAACTTTGAAGTCCGGAACTCCCCCTGTCCAGCCTGCTTTCTATCTGTATACTGACGGGCTTCTAGTGTGGTGCCGATTATGTCAAAACGAAACAACGTGCCCCGCCTTCCTCCAAGGCAGCTGCTCTTGACCGCTGTGCCTCGCTGGATGGTGACGCCGATCGTATCGTGTACTACTTCATCGACGAGAGCAACACTTTCAGATTGCTTGACGGTGACCGCATCGCCACCCTTGCGGCCTCCTTCATCGGCGATCTTGCGCGGAGCGCTGGAATTGCGCAGAAGCTCAAGATCGGCGTCGTCCAGACCGCTTACGCCAATGGTTCCAGCACGGACTACATCGAGAAGGTCCTGAAGTTGCCTTCTATTTGCACCAACACTGGTGTCAAGCATCTGCACCATGCGGCCCTGCGCTTCGACGTTGGCGTCTACTTCGAGGCCAACGGTCACGGTACCATTACTTTCTCCGAGACCGCCTTGAAGACCATTAAGAACACTGAGCCCCAGTCTCCTGCCCAGCAGCGCTCCCTTGAGTGCCTCCAGGCTCTTACTGACCTGATCAACCAGGCGGTCGGTGATGCCATCTCCGACATGCTCCTGGTCGAAGCTATTCTTGCTCACAAGGGCTGGAGCCCCAAGGAATGGCTTGCTACTTACACCGACCTTCCCTCGCGACTTGTCCGCGTGGAGGTTGCAGACCGCTCCATCTTCAAGGCTTACGATGCCGAGCGCAAGCTCGAGTCGCCCCCAGGCCTGCAGGCTAAGATCGAGTCCCTCCAGTCCCGCTACAACAAGGGCAGAAGCTTTGCCCGTGCAAGTGGCACGGAAGATGCGGTGCGTGTCTATGCCGAGGCAGCAAGCCGCTCCGAGGCGGACGACCTTGCTACCCGTGTCGCCAACGCCGTCCGCGAGGCTGGCACTGCCAAGGAAACATTGCAGTCTGCTTGAACGCATACTATACTGCCTTGGATTGACGGACTACTCTAAATAGCAAAGCCCGATTCACCTGCAAAAAGATATCAGATATACTTACACGAACGGCAAGTGTAGGAACAGGACAATCCTGTTCTGCTTTGCAAGCATCCTGGGAACTTTTACGAATGAATTTATGAAATTAGTTTAATCTGCATTGAAGCAAAAAGAAGTTGCATTTGATGTTCTCAGATCCGTTTTCACGTTTCAGATACATTCTTCTAGCATTTATAGTTGATTGAAGCCACATCTAGACTTTTATAAACAAACGTCGACACAGCAAGCAGGTGAACAATCATCAATTTTGGGTATTAACTTCGTAAAATGCAGCCGAGAGGTTAAGGCCTTTCACGCCTAACCCTCCTCTTGATCCATCTCATCCCGAGACCGTTTACCACCGAACTTCTTGCCCCTGCCTCCCTTCTTCTCATTGTAATCCTTCATATCCATGATCGCCTGCCTTTGCGCCTCTGCGACATTCTCACCAAGCACCATGACCTCGTCCTTAGGGCAATCATACTCCTTGAGCTTCTTGCCCAGAGCACCTTCGATTCTCAGCCAGACCTCAACATCATACTGGGCGACAAAGCTGATAGCAAGACCACTCTTTCCGGCACGGGCAGTACGTCCGACACGGTGGACATAGCTGGGAGAGTCTATAGCACATTAAAAAAAAACATTAGTTGAATCCAACGATAACAATAATAATACTCCCATAGCAAAAGACGGGGTATACATACCACCCGGCAAATCAAAATTAAGCACAACATCAACCGACGGAATATCCAAACCACGAGCAGCCACATCCGTCGCGACAAGGATATTCCGACTGCGAGCACGGAACTTGCCCAGCGCACCGAGACGAGCCGACTGCGAAAGCTGACCATGTAGCGGGATAGCGCCGAAGCCAAGCGCACGCAGCAAGAACGCAAGTCTCTGCGTCTCGTTCACCGTCCTCGTGAAAATAATCGTACTCTGGCCGGCGAATTCGTTCAACAGGTAGACGAGATACAAGTCCTTGTGCTTCTGGGGAATAAAGAGGTAGGATTGGAGGAGAGTCGAGACGGTCTGGTATTTGCTTGTGGAGACGGAGACACGGAGCGGGTTGGAGAGGGAGGCACGTTGGAGGGATTCGACCTTGGAACTCATCGTCGCGGAGAAGAGGAATGTGCGGCGCTCGCGGGGCAGGACTTTCAGGATCTTGTCGAGCAGGGGTCCGAAGTCCATGTCTAGAAGTCGATCCGCTTCGTCCATGACCAGGTACTTCAGGTTGCGGAGGGAAAATCCCTTGGTGTTCTCCAGGTGGTCGAGAAGACGACCGGGGGTGGCCACGATGATATGGGGCTTTTTGCCCAGGGAAATCGATTGAGATACCATGTCCATACCGCCGACGATGACGCAGCTTCGTACACCCAAGCTGGCGCCTAGGGACTCGAAGGATTTGGAGATCTGGTAGGCGAGTTCTCGGGTTGGGGCGAGGATGAGACCGAAGAAGGGCTGGGGCTTTTCCATCAGGGCTGTGAGGGGGTGTTAGTTATTTGATCTACTAGTTGTATATTTGAAGCGCCGGCATAAAGGCAATGCTGTGGCTAGAAACGTACCCTGTAGGATGGGAAGAGCAAACGCTGCCGTCTTTCCACTTCCGGTCTCTGCAAGACCGATCAAATCACGGCCTTGAAGAGCCAGAGGAATCGATTCCCGCTGGATAGGTGTGGGCGCTTTGTAGCCCATGGTCTCGCAGGCCTCGCATAGCTGTTCGATGATTCCTAGCTCCTTGAATGTCTTGGTCTGACCCTCTTCTTGTTCTTGCACTTGCTCTTGTGCTTCCGGTTCTTGGGATTGCTCTGGGGTGGAAGATTCGACATCGCTCTCTTGTGCGGGCGCAGGCGCAGGTGCAGGCGCCTCACGGGCGACCTTGCGCTTCTTGACTCCAGGCATAATTTTTTGTATGTGTAGAGAATATCTTTTATCTGGCAGCAGCGAAAATTCAAAAAACTTGTCGACATCATTGCGAAAGTAAAATAAGTATAATTTTAAGGCGCCGCAAAATCGTTGATCCGGGCTCCTCCGCGGCTTTGCTCCGCTCATACTTTTTCTTCGGGTCAGAAAAAAAGTCACTGCCCTGAGAACATCCCGTCCGGAGCAATTATTATTCCTCCGTTGTTTTCTTTTTCATCTTTACGCTTTTGTCACCATGGCGAAGGCTCGTACTAAGAAGCGCACTCATGTTCGCGCGCAAAATGCTACGGCTGCTGCTGCCAAAGGCGGCGCCGCATCTATGAGCAAGACTCCGAAGTCGATGGTTATCCGTGTCGGCGCTTCAGAAGTTGGTTCTAGTGTCAGTCAGTTGGTCAAGGATGTGCGAACGATGATGGAGCCGGATACGGCTGTCAGATTGAAGGTGAGCTTAGAATTGTACGGTTGACAGGTGGATGAAGACTAATGGTATTGGCTTTTAGGAACGCAAATCAAACAGACTAAGGGATTACACGACTATGACTGGTCCCCTTGGAGTCACACATCTTATGCTTTTCTCCAAGTCGGCATCTGGAAACACGAACATGCGTTTGGCGCTTACGCCCCGTGGTCCGACATTGCACTTCCAGGTCGAAAACTACTCCCTATGCCGTGATGTTGAGAAAGCTTTGAAGCGCCCGAGAGGTGGTGGTCAGGATCACAAGACACCTCCTTTATTGGTCATGAACAACTTTAACTCCCCTAACGCCACTGAGGACTCTAAGGTACCTAAGCGTCTGGAGAGTCTCTCGACGACCATCTTCCAATCTCTTTTCCCCCCGATCAACCCTCAAGCCACCCCCCTCTCTTCCATCCGCCGTGTGATGCTCTTGAATCGTGAACTCGCCCCCGAGGGTGAGGAAGAAGAACACTATGTGTTGAACCTCCGTCATTACGCCATTACTACGAAGAAGACCGGCGTTTCGAAGCGCATTCGCCGCCTCGATCCTAAGGAGATTCGGACCAGGGAGAAGAAGGGAGCCGCTGTGCCCAATCTGGGTAAGCTAGAGGATGCGGCGGATTATCTGCTGGACCCGTCAGCTGCTGGGTATACCTCGGCCAGTGAGACGGAGATGGACACGGATGCTGAGGTTGAGGTGGCGGAGAGCACCACAAAAAAGGTCCTCTCGAAGCGCGAACTGCAGCGCATGAAGGCTGGAGAGAAGGAGAAGGCACAGAAGAAGCTGAGCAATGCTCCGGGAGTCGAGAAGCGGGCGGTCAAGTTGGTTGAGCTGGGCCCTCGTATGAAGCTCCGCCTGCTCAAGGTTGAAGAAGGTCTTTGCGAAGGTCGCGTTATGTGGCACGATTTCATCAAGAAGTCTGAGGAGGAAGTTACCAAGTTGGACAAGAACTGGGAGCAGAAGAAGAAGGAGAAGGAACAAAGAAAGAAGGAACAAAAGGCGAACATCGAGAAGAAGAAGCAAGCCAAGGCTCAAGCTAAAGCCGAAGGCAAGGAGGTTGAAGACGACGACGAAAACGATGTTGATATGGATGAGGATGATGAATGGCTTAGTGATGACTTCGAAGATGACAATGCGGAGGAGCAGGAGAACGATGATGAGGACGAGGACGAATCGATGGAGGAGTAAACAGGCGCACTTTCATCACCTTGAAACGGATTCTCAATGTCAAGCAGCTCATCGCCCAGCTGCTACATTTAACATCCCACGCATTACTTGCTTCTGCCGTTGACCCTGAGAACTGGGCGCATGCATGTGAAGCTATGATAGTGGAGACCAGTTACATTTCAGTGACGAAGCCTGCGATGACAGACGTGACTCTTTCTTCCTTTGGCCGTTGGCGTTGGGAGTACAGGTGGCCACGGACGAAAAGGACTGAGTTATCTAAAAAGTCTCGATCAGAATGTTACGAGCCATGACCGGAAGTCTCTCGTGACGTTCAGCAGGCTGGCCATGACCGATAGAAGTACCAAAATATACCCACAATCCTGCCTATTATTTTCTATACTCGTACATGGAAGAAACGTTCTCATATCATATCCCTATTTACATGTAGCTAAAATGGCTCGTAAACAACATCCATGATCATACTAGTTCCCTCCCTGCAAAATCACGGATATCTACCAATGAGCCAACCCACCTACTTCCTCAACTTCTCCTCGACAATCCTCTCCACCATCTTCTCCAACATCTTCATATCCCCACCGGCAGTACCAGCAAAGTACCCCTGCACACTCTTCTCCACATACTTGCCCACAATATCAATCTCCACATTCACATAATCCCCCGGCTTCTTCGCCGCCGTGACAATCTTCTCCTGCGTATACGCAATAAGCATCACCTCAAAGTACCCCTCCGGACCATCCACAACATTCGTCACCGTCAAACTAGCCCCGTCCAGCGTGACATATCCCTTCTCCACGATATACCGCATCACGCCCACATCGCGCGGCTGCATACGGAACACCAGCGCATTGCCCTCCGGCGTCACAGAAAGGATCTTGGCGATGGTATCGACGTGGCCCTGCACAAAGTGACCGCCCATGCGCGTTTCACCCAGGACGGCGCGTTCGAGGTTCACGCGGGAGTTTGTCTGCAGGGAACCGAGATTCGTGCGGCGGAGGGTTTCGGGGGCGACGCCGACCTTGAACCAGGTCTTGTCGAAGGCGGTTACTGTTAGACAGGTTCCTGTTTTTTTATGTAATTGTATTAGTTGAATGAAATTTCTCCTTGGGGGTTGCTCGTGGGGGGTTCGTGGGGGTATTGTTTCGCGATTTTGGGGGGGAGTGGGGGTAGGGGGAGGGGTAACGATGGAGAGAGAGGGAAGCAGAGGAAAAAGTAGGGATCGAATGCAATGGGAATGATGGTGAGTGTAACAATTGATATCATGCGATGCGATTCATACCATTGACAGCTATACTGTCGCCGAGATGGCAATCTGTGAGAATCTCCTCACAGTCGGAGATGGTCAAGGATGTACCCCCGCCCCCGCTTGAGGAGGTATCGAGAGCCTCGAGGGACGAGACAGCTGCGGTAGAGAAAGGCAATTAGTTTTTCTGTTTGGGTATTCATGATCGCAGTATAAGAAACCCACTCCCTATTTTCTCAACAAGACCGGTGAACATGGTGGAAATGGATAAAATTGTAAAAATGTAAAGCCGATACCGTGGTTGCGGGCGGAATCAAGCGGTTGTAAGAAGGAAAGTTGAGCGGAAAGCGGACTTAATGTACTTGACCTCGGCTGCGAAGCTCCGTCGGCCTGGTCCCCGAATGGGAGCCAGCGCTTTTACTTGATCTCCCCTGTAGCTTTACTTGGAGAACCTTGCATTGTCGATTATATTTTATCTGCCCACTGTCCTTCTGGATGAATCTTGCTCCAAATATCATTATTTTCATGGTCTATCATATTATTTTAAGATCGCATCTTTAAACCAGCATTATAATCAATTATGAATCTCACGGCCGCATTGAGGGTACAGCGGGCTTGCGTTGCTCGTCGCAGCATCTATCTTCCCCGGAGGACGACGCAATGGCGCAGCTATTCTTCTGCTGTATCTGACGATACACTTCCCTTGAAAGGTATACGAGTTTTGGATATGACACGAGTTTTGGCTGGTGTGAGTAGTAGGCTTGTCGTCTCCAACAGCGCCGGGTTGGAGATGTAACTAACATTCCCCCGCAGCCATACTGTACCCAGATTTTGGGTGATTTAGGGTATGTTCTACTTCGACATCTGACAATTACTATCAAGGCAGTGGGGGATCTGACCGGGATGATACCATATAGAGCGGATGTTATTAAAGTCGAACACCCCGTGCGCGGTGATGATACTCGAGCGTGGGGTCCCCCGTACGCCACATACACGGATGGGTCCGAAGGTCCAGGAGAGAGTGCCTACTATCTTGGAGTATGTTATGCGGCCTGCTACTGCCATACCTCCAAGAGCACAACTGACCATTGTGAATAGGTAAATCGCAACAAGAAATCAATTGGTCTGTCTTTCGCTCACAAGTCCGGTGTTGATATTCTACACCGGCTGGCGAAGGAATGTGACGTCCTCGTCGAGAACTACCTTCCTGGTAGCCTTAAGAAATATAATATGGATTATGAGACCCTGCGCTCCATCAATCCTAAACTTATCTACGCCAGCATCACCGGATACGGACAGACTGGGCCATACAGTAACCGTGCGGGGTACGATGTCATGGTTGAAGCGGAGATGGGTCTGATGCACATCACGGGTAGTAGGGAGGGGGAACCGGTGAAGGTAGGCGTTGCTGTGACCGATTTGACGACTGGTCTGTATACATCGAATGCCATTATGGCCGCCTTGCTTGCACGGGCGAGAACTGGTAAAGGACAGCATATCGATGCGTGTCTGAGCGACTGTCAGGTTGCGACCTTGGCGAACATTGCCAGCTCCGCTCTGATCAGTGGTAAGAAGGATTCGGGAAGATGGGGAACCGCACACCGTAAGTGGCCTTGTACCATGAACTGGAAGACTAGCTACTGACTGTCTGTTAGCGTCCATTGTGCCTTACCGAAGCTACAAGACGCTCGATGGCGATATTCTCTTCGGGGGCGGGAACGATAGACTGTTCGGTGTGTTGTGCGACCGACTTGGACATCCGGAATGGAAGACCGATCCCCGATTTGTTACCAACAGTGATCGAGTAAAGCATCGTACGGATATTGATGGTTTGATTGAGGAAACTGTCAAGCAAAAAACCACACAAGAGTGGCTTGAGATCTTGGAGGGCAGCGGCATGCCCTATGCCGCAGTTAATGATATTCAGGGAACGTTGAACCACTCCCACGGTATGTTATACATCCAACATAAACCGACTCCGTGATTATATCAATTCGCTGATAATGTATTATGTAGTCCAAGCACGAGGCATGGTTGCAGAGGTTGACCATCCAGCTTGCGGTCCCATCAAGTTGGTGAATACACCCATCAAGTATTCCCACGCAACCCCTGGCATCCGGACACCGCCCCCAACCCTGGGGCAACATACGGACGAGATATTGGGGGAGGTACTGGAGTATGGCAAGGACGATATTGCTCGGCTGAAGAAGGATGGCGTAGTAGCATAGACTATATCATACAGGAGCTCTGCTCCTCCGACTTCGCTGGTGGATTGCTCTAGACTGCGTTGAAGAGCCGGTGGTGCGGAAGGTCACGCATCTGCAGGAATAATCCCTACATGGTTAGCTTTTCGTGCGACTACCGGCTCATCCGCGCTGAAGAGTCCCGGATATCATAGAGAGATAGCTAGAAGAGATAACCTCAAGCCAGCCATGCACATTGGACAGTTTTTTGCTGGCAGTTACACAATCAAAGGAGCATCATTGCTTTTTGACAATGAAAGGCGGTTCTGTCAAGGGCGCGGGGGATGGATTCCTGACGATCACGTGATGGTATATAAATCTGGGTCCGTTCATGATGACTTCTCTTGTCGCACTCCGATAACAGTGAGGATTCAGGTGCAGTGTCCAGAGCAAGTCTACTAAGACGACTGAGCAACTGTGCACATCGACCCGGCTTGGGGATATGTCACCGCACAATGGAGCTCCTTCCTCCCAGGCGTCTATAGAAACAGCGCCTTCATCAGCCCACGGAACACTTCATACCACTACCACCACTTCTGGCTCACCCCCTTCGGATTCCTCGGGCAGCATCAGCATTGGCTCCTCCCTGGGATTGCCTCCCTCCTTACCCGGACGGCCGCCGAGCGTACCCTCAAAGAGGGTGGAGATCCCCCGGCTCTCTGCAGCTACTACCGAGTTACTGGCGCGGGTCACCGGGAACCTCAAAGGACCGCAGCAGAGAAATGATAATGATAGATTTGTTACATGGAACCCATCAACAGTGACTCGGACGTTCGAAAGCCAGAATAGCATTTCCACAATGGGGAAAATGAGGGCCTCTTCTACAATTATTGAGTTGCCTACGGCGCCGTTCGTGTATTCGAACACTGTGGCGCCACCAGCGGTTCCTCAGCCTGCCTCCCCAGCGCCTCAAGGAAATACAAAAGACATAGTAAAGCCTACAAATCTACCCAACCTCGCCCCAAAACCGCCCAGCACAACACCAATTGACGCAGTATCAAGACATTCGGGGTCTCCAGTCCCGGTCAATGTCGACCTAAAACCCACAAGTTCAACGCCCGTCGATGCAGTACCACGGCAGTCGGCGTCTCCAATTCCAGTCAATATCGCTCCAAAACCAAGCACAACACCTGTCGGTGCGGTTTTAGCACCAACACAATTGACTGCACCCACATCAGCAGAACTCACAGCTGAGATTAAAATTGCCCCTAAACCAAACGGGACATTGTCGAATGGCGCAGCACCAGCATCAACACCTTTGCCTACACCACAGGAGCCACGGCCAGCAGCAAAGCCCAAGAGACCACAAACCGCAGCTGGCTCGCGCCAGCGAAAGGGTGCGGCAAATGGTAACAAGCGCGGCAAGAAGCGCAAACGAAATAATGATAGTGATGGAGAAGATATCATAAGGGCCGGTGACTCCAGTAGTGACGAATCAGATGTTGCACCAACAGCGACGCAAACAAAATCTGGCCGCTTGGTCAACCGGCCTTCGTTATATGTACCTGCACCATCGGCTCCTGCGGTAGCCAAGGAGGTAAGCAACTCGGCGGACGCGTCTGATTATGCAGCCGTCGCACGAAAGCGTAAACGTATTCACCGCCGAGGAAAAGATGCGATCATCACTTGCTTGCATTGCCAGAGGGGTCATAGCCCATTGAGCAACTCGATCGTTTTCTGTGACGAGTGCAATGCTGCATGGCATCAGTTGTGTCACGATCCGCCTATTGGCGCAGACGTTGTTGCGGTCAAGGAGAAAGAATGGTTCTGTCGGGAATGCCGGCCTGTCCAAATTTCTGTCATTCAGCCAACAGTTGTGCGAAGCAATCCTGACCTCACATCCGGGCCATTAGTCCCTAATTATCCTCCACTATCAATCCCCAAAGGCGAGGTGGGTGCAGCGGAATTCTCGGCTGATGAGCGACGAGGCTTCCTGTCGGGTCTTTCGCATGCAACCCTCGTTGAGCTCCTGATGACTATCTCGGACAACAATCCGATCTTGCCGATGTTTCCTGAGAATATGAGGGATCTCCAGTCTTCCAAGTTCGCGTTTCGATTGCCAATTTCCGATGCCCCGACTCCGTCGACATCGGTGTCGGGTAATGCTTCGACAAGCAATGGTACAAGGGATTCCACGTCTGCGTCTACTGAAGTAAACAAACACAATGAGGACTCTGTACCCGAAGCTACATCTTCCTTGTCTGCTCGAAGGCGGTATGAGGAGATCTCTGATGACGACTCGGAATATGAATTCCAGGAGCACCGGTTGTATCCACGTGCTGGGAACGGATTCCGGCTATCACTTAATGTGGATGACATGGATATCATGCGCGAAGACCCTGCTTGTCCTACCTTCAGCTATTCGCTACACGGACCTGCGCAGGTACGCGCGCAGCTGAACGAAATGGTTCCAGTGTGGGGAACATGACACCAGCGTCAACTTCCCTTATACTTACGTTCACCTCTGAGTCTACACTTGACATTGAGCACTTGACGTCTTAGATTCTTTAGATCATCCTCATCACTTATGTGGTCTAGCGAATTATAGATATCTGAAGCGCGTGAAGCTTTGGGTCAGCAATACAATACACTATCTGCTGTGCAACCTTCAATACGCCAAAGATGACGCCTCCCGATAACTCGCCGCTACACGAAGTCAAACGCAGATTTCGGACACAATGAACATGGAGAAGCCTTTAGTTGGCCACCAACTACGAGCTCTCTGCTAGCCTTGGCTGGCGGGTCCCAGACGATGCCTGCAACACCATGGCGCGGTCTCGACACGTTACAACCAGTGTCATCCACGTCATAGAACAGCAGGATATCTGCACGACTTCCCTGGTTCAAGGCCAAGGCCTCGTATGACGAAAGTCCGATTGCTGCGCGTGCTCTGGTTGACACGCATTCGTACAATAGCTGGGCATTCGCCTTGGTCCTGGCTTGATACACACCCACTCCTAGACACGCCAACGACAGGGGGTCTTCAGAGCCCCAGGGAGTAAAAGCGTTGCCAAGATTGTTGATTCCAATCACCGTGTCCAAACCATACTTGTTGATCATCTCCAAGACCTGCAATGTACCCCGTGGCCGATCATGGCTTTTCGAAGATGGTGGAGAGGCCATGTACATATCGCTCGTCGGTAGCCCAACAAAGCTAACGGGAAGGTCATTATCCCGGATCTCTTGTGCAAGAAGGACCCATTCTTCATCACTGAACAGCGTCAGTCGCGTGCAGTGCCCCAGCATGACCCGCTTATCCGTTGACTGCGATGTCCACCCCCTCTCCTTCAGCGTGCGCAAAACAAACCATACCAGTGCCTCCTTCCCGGTGTCGAGGTTATAGTCGAGATGGAAGTCCACATGCTTTCTGCACTCCAGGGCACGCTCAATCGCCCATATAATGTTTTCTTTCGATGCATCGATCGACGACTCGACGTAGGGTGTTGTCCCGATGACATCCACCTGCGGCTGTTGCACCGCTTCTTCCATGAGCCGACGGTTATGGTTCCCATACTCACCCGAGAATATCGGGTCCTGCGCAAATGACACTATTTGCACTGCACATGCCTCTTTCCACTCATCCTTGAGAGCGATACCAGCTTCAAGACAAGTGAGGTTTACAGTATGATCTACCTCCACGAATGCCCTCATCGCCGTGACCCCTGCCGAGACAGATCCGGCAAGCAGCCATTCTCCGCGTCTCAGGAGATCCTCCCGCGTAAACTGCTGCTTCGCTTTCGTGGTAAAGGATAGCGCTTCAGCGAACGAGCCGGTAGAGGGAAGAAGATGTGCATATTCGGGAGAGTTGTGGATGAATGCTTTATCGAGATGGATATGTGGGTGTGTCAGAGCTCGGAGGGCGAGTGGTGCGGTCTGGTTCAATTCAGCATTGGGGTGCGGGGTGATGGATGTGATGATGCTGTGCGGAGAATCATGGGGGCGCGAGATGGCAATGTCCCAGGTTGAGTCTCTGCCGGGGAGTCGGACATTCTGAATGCGCTTGACGGGTGTAAGAGTAGGCGGAGGCATTTTTGGTATATTATATTATATTGTGTTAAATGTTATGAGTGATAGAAAGTGGTGTTTCGGGTGACAGCAGTCTATGGCGGAGCTCGCCGCACTTTGTATGTATCCCCCGATCATGGGTCGCTCATCGGCTGTTCATGTCACAGCCGACGGCAACGTAGAAATAAGAGTAAATCTGGGCCTTTCAATCTCTTAAATCAAAGTTCAAGGATAAGAATTGAGTCAAATGCACTATGCATGTCTTACACAACCTTAACTCGACAGCCATGAGCTGAACTGAACTGAACTGAGTTGAACTGAACCACTCCATCAGCAGCCCCACATCTCACAATCATCTGGCCGGAGCTTCTTTCTCCTCATTCCCTCTTCCCCAAGCTCCGACTGTCAATATCTCCAATTGACACCCTATACCCCAGACCAGAAGTCCACACTCAATCCTCCTCCACAACCGCACCCAGTAAGACAGTCACTTATCACAACCCCCCCTATCTAAGCGCCGACAATTCCTAACCAACCAATCACAGACCTCAACCCACCACAGAAGCCACAAAACACCACCACTCACCACTCACCACCACAACCACTGCTATACACAACACCACAACCCCCTACCATGCCCCCAACCACACCTAAACCATCACCCAACCATCCCTAATACTCCCTCCCCAAAATGGCCACTCCAAAACTCATCCACACCCACCCCCTCCAACCCACCACCAGCAATTCCAACACAAACCCCCCTCTAACCATCGACCTCCTCCTCACAACCCTCACCCGCACCATCCTGCACCCCATCCCATCCTACATCCTCCTCCTATGCCTCCGCGCCCAAGCAACCCCTTACACCTCCCTCCCCTTCATTATCGCCATCATCTACTCCGCCCTCCTCACCCTCATTTACATCCTCAGCACACTCAACCACCAATTAGCTTACGGGGCCCCGCGCACCGTCGACCTCTCCAATGAAGTGGTGGTCGTGACGGGCGGGGCGAGCGGGTTGGGATTACTCATTGCGAGGATATATGCGCTTCGGGGCGCCTCTGTAGCGGTTTTGGATGTTCGGGGGATATCGGATGAGGAGGTCGAGGAGATGGGGTTGGGGGGGTGTTATGTTTGTGATGTTTCGGATAGGGGGGCTTTGGAGGGTGTGGTGGGGAGGGTTGGGGAGGAGGTATGTATCTTTTATTTTTTTTTTTTGTTTCTTTCTTTTCCATACTTTCTACTTTTGATATCTATATATATATATGGTGGGAGGGAGGGAGTGTCTGGTATTTTAATTGATTGATGACTGATGGCTAACTAACTTGATGTGATGGGGTAGTTGGGCACTCCTACCATTTTGATCCATTGCGCAGCTGCAAGAATCAACGGTCTACCCTTGCAACAGCTCTCTCCCGAGGCTTTCCAGAAAACTATCAACACCAATCTACTCGCCGCCGTTCATGCCTATCAGGTTTTCTTGCCGTATATGCTGGCTGCGCCGGACGGTGGGACCATTGTAACGGTGAGTTCGGTGCTCGGGCAACTGTGTGCGGCTGGTTTGGCGGATTACTCTGCTAGTAAGGCTGGGTTGAGCGCGTTGCATCGCTCGCTCGAGGCCGAACTTCGACAATCTGGGGACGATGCGAAAGTCAAAATGGTTTTGGTGGAGCCGGGCCAGATCTCAACGCCGCTGTTTGAATCCGTCCAGACGCCCAACCGGTTCTTTGCCCCCGTTTTGGAGCCAGTCCAGGTCGCGCAGGCTATTGTCTCGGCTGTCGACAGCGGCAGGGGTGGCGTGATAAGGTTGCCCGCATTTGCCATGCTGGTGAACTGGTATGCGGTGTTGCCGGCGAGCGTGCAGCGGTTGGCGCGGTACCTGAGCGGGATCGATAGCGCGGTAGCACAGGCGTCGTCCAAACCCGGCAGGGCTGATTCGTCCAGCCAGCAGTTGCAGACTGAGTTGGATCACGTGAAAGAGGACTGACGACGAAGCTGAACAACAGCTGCAATAAGAATATACCCCAACTGTATCATGTCCATGCAATGTATATATACTTGAGACACAATTTAATTGGTCTCTGAGCGCAGCCGTTCCGCACGATCATCCAGATGGACGTCCCGGGCAGAGCATTTATTGCTCCTTGGCCAGGATCATCTTCTCGCGCTCGCTCTGTCTCTTGGGCAGGTTCTCCTTCTTGGTGTGCTTGCGCACGTTCTCCTCGCGTCTCTTGATCGCCATCAGCTCCTCCCGCTTGATCTCGCGCGCCTTCTTGATCGGCTTCGGCACGTGACGCTGGCGACGGATTCTGCGGATTTCCGGCATGTGCGAGTATCTCTGGATCAAGGCCTGGTCGTACTCGAGCTTGGCCCGTTGACGAGCGCTCTTTACTCCGCTGCGGTCGGATGCGTTTGCGCGCCAAAGGCGGATGTTGCCGTCGTCGGAGCCGGACAAGACGTACTTGTTGTCGGGGGTGAACTTGGCGGAGAAAACACTGTAGAACATAGTCAGCATTATGATTCTTGGAGAAGGGAAGCGGAAGTAGATACATACCGTTGCATACGCTGGGTGTGGTAGATGTCGCGAGAGTGGCCCGTGGATCTGTTCCACAAGCGGATCGTCCGATCGTAAGAGGCAGTGACAAGTTCCTGACCGGTGGGACTGAAGTCCACATCCATCACAGCAGCGACGTGGTCCTTGAGCACGTTCAATGCGCGATCCATCTTGCGCATGTCGAACATGTAGACGTTGTGATCTTCGTTGGCAACGGCAAAGTTGAACGCTTCCATGGGGTTCCACGAGATCGCGTTCGACGCCAGGCGGAGAACCATCTTGTGAAGAGGGGACGATGTCCGGAGGTCGTACATGATAATCGAACGGTCAATACCGGTAGAACCAAGGATGGAGGTCTCCGTCTGGTTGAAAGCGATGGAGGTGATGGTGTCCACGTTGGTGGGCCAGTGAAGAGTCTGGGACGGAGTAGAGGAAGGACGGGAGAGATCGTAGATAGAGATCTGAGAGGAGGATGCGGCAAAGTAGGGCAGGTCCCGATGGTGCGTGAGGCAGGTGAAAGCGCCCTGGCCCAGGTAGGTTGCTAGCGGTGGTGCTTCGGGTGCCGAGTTGTACGGGTCGAAAAGCTTGACGGTCTTGTCGCTCGCGCAAGAAAGCAACTTCCGATCGGGGGTCCAACACACACCCTTGACGATGTTGTCGTGTGCCTGGGTGTTCCAGATCTCTCCCTGGGTGGTCAAATCCCACACCTTGACTACACCATCACCGCTACCACTGGCGAACCGTTCCAGAGAGCCTGGGTCCTTGGCCATAGTATACACACCGTCCACATGGCCTTCGCCCATCTGGCCCAAGAAGGGCGCAGCGAACAGGCGCTCTAACTTGGTAGCATTGAGAGCACGGGTGTATTCACGAGCCCGCTCGAATGGATGCTGCGCCGGGTCGAGGTTTCGGGGCTGTCGAACGACAGCGGTTCCCGGAGCCTGTTGCGAGGAAGTGGGACGAGAAAGAGCTTTGATTTTCTGAGAGGTCTATTAGTACCTATCCAAAAGACTATGAAGCAATTTAGATTGACTTACCATGGCGTCCGGTGGTTTTCTCTGCAAAGGAAGCTGGAGGAAAGAAAACTAAAACTATATCGGACATAAAATTTCCAGGCGCTTTTTTTCTACTGGGCGGGTACCGCCGTTTCTGGTTGGCTCGCCAAGCCGCGGGCGGTGAGGGCGGCAGCTGCAGCTCCAACCGCCAGTGACGATAGCCAAACCTGTAAGCTTCCTGTCCTGCCATCATCCTCTATACCTCATCATCTCATCTCTCATCGTGTCTAGGGCCTTCCAGCTTTGTGCATTACCTGTCACTCCGTTGGCAGATTGATAACTACCCGCAATCCCTCCAGATTTCCTCCGCCGCCCCTCACAGCCCCGATCTAGTCATGGCACCCTCTTCGACGACCGCTGGGCGGATAGACGAAGCCCGGGGTCTCGTGAAGAGCGACCCTTCCAAGGCCGAGAGCATCCTCAAGGAAATTCTCGCGCAAGGTCCCGGTTCGTCTGAGGCCTCATCGCGCGATTATGAGAATGCCCTGGTGTTGCTGGGAGAGCTCTACCGGGACCAGAAGAAGCCCCACGAGATTGCCGAACTCATCAAGACCAGCCGCGATTCTTTCTCTTCATTCGCCAAGGCAAAGACGGCTAAGCTGGGTATGTTGGGTCGACCGGTTAATGTATTTTGCATGGCTACTAACAACCCGTCCTCTGATAGTCCGCCAGCTGCTCGACCTATTCAGCGAGATCCCGAACACCCTCGATATCCAAGTCTCCGTCATCCAATCATGCATTGAGTGGGCCATCGCTGAGCGGAGGTCCTTCCTTCGTCAGAACCTCCAGACTCGCCTTGTTGCCATCTACATGCAGAAACAGACCTACTACGATGCGCTCACCCTCATCAACTCCCTCCTCCGCGAGCTAAAGCGCCTGGATGACAAGCTCATGCTGGTTGAGGTGCAGCTGCTGGAGTCGCGGGTTTACCATGCATTGGGCAACCAGGCCAAGGCACGTGCTGCTTTGACGGCAGCCCGGACATCGGCCGCCTCCGTCTACACGCCGCCGAACCTGCAGGCCGGTCTGGATATGCAAAGTGGTATGCTACACGCCGAGGACAAGGATTTCAACACGTCATTCTCCTATTTCATTGAGGCTCTGGAAGGGTACAGCTCCCTTGATGAGGGAGAGAAGGCCACTGCGGCCCTCCAATATATGCTGCTATGCAAGATCATGTTGAACCTGGTGGACGATGTGACGAATTTGCTGGGATCGAAGCAGGCTCAGAAGTATGCCAGCCCGCGACTCGAGGCCATGAAGGCTGTGGCGCGTGCTCATGCCAACCGGTCCCTAGAGGAGTACGAGAAGGCGCTCTCAGACTACCGGTTCGAGCTGGGCAGTGATACATTCATCCGCAACCACCTCCGCAGACTGTACGATGCCATGTTGGAGCAGAACCTGATCAAGGTTATTGAACCTTTCAGCCGGGTCGAGCTGGACCACATCGCCAAGATGGTTGGGCTGGACACGCAGCAGGTGGAGCGGAAGCTCTCCCAGATGATCCTGGACAAGGTGATTATCGGAGTGCTCGACCAGGGGGCTGGATGCCTGATTGTCTACGATGAGACGGAGCGTGATCAGGCATACGATGCTGCATTGGACACGATTGAGAAGTTGAGCAATGTGGTGGAAGAGTTGTACACTAATCAAGCATCGCTGCTGGAGTAAGTAAGAAAAGGCAGATGGTGCGTGGGGGGGAGGTGATTATTGAGTTAATGGCTTGGAAATGAAACAGCATTACTACAAATGAATATATGAGGATTGTTGATCCTATAACTAGAGAAAAGTAATTATAGAGTGTAGTTTGATGTGGTTACTGGTCCATCCCAAAGAGGAATAGCGCGACCGCGGCAAAAGAATCGCGAAAGCAAGTGACTGACTTGCTTCTGTTCGTCCGCCCAGCAACTACACGCCCATCTCTCCGGCCCTGCGCGGTCTGTCTCATCGCCCCAAGGATCTCCATCCTCCAATTCGCGGATCTTCCCTTGCGGCCTCACCGTCTCATCACGGACCAACCATGAATGCTCCGATTCCACCCAACTACGGCCGTGGGTTCCCCCCACAAGCCGCCCAACGCTCCCCTGCCACGCCTCGTCGCGGTCCTTCAGGTCCTGGTGAGCCTCCACCCTGTAACCCAATCAAACCCCGGCGGAACTTTTTCTTCTTTTAACTCCTTCTTCTCCCTCATATAGCTGCTGCGATGCCTGTCCCCATGCCTCAGCACGCCGTTCCCCCTCAATACATCCCTCCCCAGCGCAACATGCAGCCTCCCAATGACGCCGCCCTGCGTCGCAGCCGCAAACCCACCGACAAGAACATCCCCGACGGCATTGAGGAAGTAATCATTGGCGAAGGCGTGCAGCAGTACAAGAGCCTCCGCGACCTGGAGAAGCGCCTCGATGCAGCCATTGTCCGTAAGCGCCTGGACATCCAGGACTCCATCAGCAAGACTGTCAAGAAGTACCGCACGATGCGCATTTGGATCTCCAACACTGTCGAAAACCAACCCTGGCAGACTGCCAACGGTGCCGCCCCGGGAAGCAACCCCGGCTCCGGACGGTACAAGGTGCGCATCGAGGGACGTCTTCTAGACGACGACAGCGACCCGACCGCCCCGGAGGATAGTGACGACGAAGCTACCGAGCCGACGGACAACGGCGACGCAATGGAGCAAGATGGGCCTAACGCCAATGCTACGATCAAGAAGTCGTCCAACAAGCGCTCCAAGCAGCGTTTCTCGCACTTCTTCAAATCCATCACTGTCGACTTCGACAAGTCCTCCCCCGCCAGCCCGGAGGAAGTCAAGCCAATCACCTGGACCAAGCCGCAATTACCCCCTAACACCGTCACCCTGCCACCCACGGCAGACTTCGACTCGATGCAGTTCACCCGCGCGTCACAGGAGAACCTGAACGTGACATTCAGTCTCGTGCGCGACGAGACACCAGAACGGTACAAGCTCAGCAAAGAGCTAGCAGAAGTACTAGACGTGGAGGAAGAAACACGAAGCGGCATTGTGCTCGGCATCTGGGACTACATCCGCGCCATGGGCCTACAAGAAGACGAAGAGAAGCGACTCGTCCGCTGTGACCATCGTCTCCGATCGGTACCTTGACCTCACCTCCCCCTTCCATATGAATCCAAAACCAAACTAACTCAACCCAACCACACAGATCTTCGGCCGCGATCAAATGTTCTTCCCTCAAATCCCCGAAAGCATCGGCCCACACACCAGCCCCATCGACCCCATCCACCTCCCCTACACCATCCGCGTCGACGAAGACTACCACAAGGACCCGACCCCCACCGTCTACGACATCCAAGTCGCCCTGGAAGACCCTCTCCGCTCCAAGATGCTCGCCCTCACCCAGAACCCGCAATACACGGCATCCATGCGCCAGATCGCCACGCTAGACGACCAGGTCGCCCTCATCGTGCAGGCCCTGACGCACTCCCGCGCCCGTCACTCCTTCTACACGGCTCTCAGCAAGGATCCCGCGACTTTCGTCCGCCGCTGGATCAACTCCCAGCGCAGAGACCTGGAGACTATCCTTGGAGAGGCGACACGTGGTGGTGGCGAAGATGCAAGTGGTCCTGAGTTCCGTCGTGGTGGTACAGATGGCGTTTGGGATACGACTGTGGCGAGGGAAGCGGTGCGGTATATGCTTGCGAAGCCGGAGGCGGCGATGGGGAGGTGATTCTTAACTAGGTAGTTTACTCGTTAGGATTGGTTGCTTGTGGAGATGTGGTACTATTAAGTTAGTGATGTGTGACTGGTGTATTATCTGATCAGCGAAGAAAATAACTCTTTACGAACGATACTAGTTTAGTTAGTCGGTTGAGTTGGGCTTGTTTGTTTGATGGGGGCGCTTTCGTGGTGTTTTTTGTCTTTGGTTGGTTTTGATTCCGGGATGGATGCTTTCTTTTTCGGCTTTTTTTTAGTTCCCTTGTCATCTATAATGTATTGCTTGATTGAAATACAGATCTTATCTGTGGCTGTAGTACTAGATATATATATTTGAGATTAGTATGAAGATCATAGTAGTATGGACTCTCATAGGCCCATAATGATGTATGGTTGTATATCATCTTGTAGTAGTATGGTTATATGCCGTTACTCGTTTCATTTATATTTCTGATACTGTACTGTACTGAGATCTAAGCAAGATAGCGACTGCACAAGAAAACAAAACAAAAACAGATTAAAATGAGCAAACCCATTCTCCTAACCAGATCAACTCCTTGTCGAAAGACATGAATGCATGGATTCCGAATCAACTATCTTTCCCGTAACATAACATCGCGTTATATGATAATATATCCTCTGATGCTTGGAAGCCGGTCTTGCTGACCTATCTGGTCGGCTGTGGTAGGGGTAGATATCCAAGTCAACAAGCTGTGAGACATGTCCTCGCGAGCCACAAGGCTGTCCATAGTAGGACTGATGGTATGATGAGGGTGTTGTTCCTCTTTGGTGGTTTGTTACTGCTGTTGCTGCTGCTTTATTGGAGCACGTAACAAAAGCAAATTAGGATGACAACTGGACCTTCCTCTTCCTCAATTCCTCGAGCCCCGAGTCGACAGCCGAAGCGACTTTCTCGTCAGTAACTCCATCGAGGAAAGGACTACCCTCCTCCTGTTCCAGCTTGGAGGCCGCTTCCAGGACGACCTTCTGCGTGATTTCCTCCTTCAGGTTGCTGATTTGCTCCTCCTTGGAGGGCTTACCGGCCGGTCCGGACTTCTCAGCGGGCCCGCGGAACCGCTTCAAGACGGTCTCGACCATCTTCGAGAACCAGAAGTAGTTCAAGAAGTTGAGGACCACGTTTGAGATCACGTAAGTCAGAACCAGCCAGGTGGGGACGCCGCCGGCGGTAAAGGAGGCGTACTTGGCCATTTCACTGCCGCTGCCTCCGCGGACTTGGAAGACTTGAGAGGTGATATCGACGGGCTCGAGGGGAGTAGCAGCTGCAGTGGCATCCCAAGTCTGTTTCAAGGCGTACCACATGTCCCGATAGACGGCGACGGACTGGTAGGTGCCCCAAAGGAGACGGCAGCTGAAGAAGGTGAAGAGAAGCATCATGCCATTGTACCACTGCAGGTTGCTGCCGGTCATGTTGACCTTGTCGAGGAACCAGTGGATATTGAGGAAGGGGCTGGAGAGCTCATATAGGATGAAGACAGGGGAGTAGAAGTTCACGAATGGTCTCTGTAATGATAGCACAAGTCAAATGATTAGCTTATTGACGCATACCGTAAATCTGGAATAGGTTACAACTCACAAATCCGAAACTAAACACCCACAGGGCGCTAATGCCATGGAAAAGCATTCCGATCCCAAAGAGCTTAACGTAGATCGTGCTCACGATCAGATCGTAGACAAAGTATCCGGCAGCGAAGGCGGACACCAGTCCACAGGCTCCAGTGTATCCATAGACACGTTCAGGAGTGTTCATAGACGCCCGGTCTTCATCGACAAACATGACCCAAAGGGCCATGCCATTAATAAAGGTGCTCTGCACCAGCGAGACGACATGAACATCCCAGTTGAGCTTGGTCCGGGGATTGAGTTTCGGGTAGTGACGGGGAAACAACACCGGAGACAGAACGGGGGACAATATAAAGTGGATAAAGAGGTAGCCGGCAAAAGCAATAACGACTTCGTGAGCATGCTCCGTCAGAGCCGGAACGTTGTAATAAAGCGCCCAAGGCTCGACGAAATCCCGCAGCCATGCTGGCGGGGGTGGAAACGGATCCAACATGCCGGTTGACCGCTCCTCCGACCAAGCGGAGAGAACTTAGGATGAGAGAAAATCGGAAAATTAACCACTCTTGCAGAGGGGAGATAGGGGAGCAGGAGAACAAGAACCAGGAGGAGAGGGCAGTAAGAGGGCGGAGACTAGTGAGGTTAGTTGGTCTAGAAACTAGCCATGGTGGAGACCGGAGACGTTGGAGTTTACCGACCGAAAGGAGAGAAGTACGTAGTAGTAAATGAGGAGTGGCCAGGGGCAGCAGGCACGGAGGATCTATTTATCTCTCGCCGTCGGGCCAGCCAAGGACGGCAACCGATGCAGGCATGCACGCATCCAGGATGAAGCGAGTAGCGACAGTTGATGCAGCAAGGACCGAGGAGCCAACCTCTTTAAACACAAAAAAGCGCCGTGAGAAACAAATCCGTTGGGGATTCGGCGCTGACTCAGCCGCGGTGCATGACCGTTGGCCATGTGACTCGTTGCTTCTTTTGATCTCCATCTTCTACAGGCAACAACTACGAACAAACATCTACAGAAGAAATTAATTCAATCTTGGTTTTCCCTCAAATCAGCATATCAAGTCCATTATTAACTTCCACTCGCTGAAAAAGAAACATAGGTACATCATGCATAAACAGTCGTAAGAAACATAGGAGAATACAAAAGAAAGTAATCCGTATCCAACCCCTTTTCGGATCCATGGCCGACACACCAATGATCCTAATCTATACAGCACTCAGCTCAGCCAAATGCTCGGATGATTTGTTTCAGGAGAGCTTCCATAATATGCTGCTTGCTCTCATCCCTTCATTACCAGGGTCATGCAGCAGAGTCGGGAGGAGTCCTCGTGCGCTTAGAGCTTCATGCCGCGGCACTCGTGACCTCGGGTCCAATACCACTATCGCTGTGCTGTCCGTAGACCACCATCTTCAAGGCCTCCTCATCCAGCTCCAACGCCTCGTCCGGCTCATCTGCCTTGGGCGTCTGAGCGTCCTCCCCATCGGAGTCCTCCGGTTCGTCCGCGACTGAATGCAGCCCTGTGGAGCTAGCGGCACTTACCCGCCGATTGGCGGAGACATGGCTACTGGTACCATAGATCATGCTATCCGCGTATGTTCCTGTGTAACTGGTTCGTCGCTCCGTGCCTGCGTCACTCTCTTCCCCATCCTCCTCAGGAAAGACCTCGTTTTCTTTATTGGCAACGGAGCTTCGGCCTCCCCAAGATGCCTTCCGCTGAGAGACGTTGGACCTGACGGAATGGCTCCGCTTCAGACTGGCAAACCCACTGGCGCTACTCACCTGCCTATCCCCTGCACCGCGATTGCCCGTAACGTTGCTCAGACTGAAGATACGCCGTTCCTTGCTGGTGGTAGATGGTGCGACAGATCCCGCCTGGGACCCATTCGTTCCTCGCCTTCTCAGCGCTAGCCCAACGCTACTGCCGAGGATGCTACGGGCATCTTTGGCGGTGCTGGCATTGCTGGCAACACTAGGCCCGCGGGCGCGAGATCCGCGCTTCTTTACGCCGTTCGGGCGACTCAAGAGAACACTGCGAGCGTGGTCGAGAACGCCTTCCAGGATTCGTTTTTCGAGATGGTCTGCACGATCCTCCATAACTTGCATTTCTTCATGACGAAGCTCGAGTGCCATCTCCAAGCCAGCGACTTCCTTGCTGAGCTTGGTGGTCTGCTTAGCAAGGTCATCCTTTTCAGATTTCAGAGTCTGGATGATGTGCAGTAGAGAATCCTTCTCCTCCTTCAGGGTCAAGATTTCTGCCTCCACCTGCTCGCGCTGGGCGTTGCGCCTCTCCAATGCAATCGCTGCTTCCTCGGCCTCCCTGCGTCTCCGCTCGTTGTCTTCAGCCACCATGGCGGTCTGGGCGGCAAACATCTCGTTCATCCGACGGGAGGTGTCCATGATATCCTTGTGCATCTCGTCCAACTTCATCATCTGCGTAACTGATTGATCATTGTTGGTCGCATGGTCAATGAGGACATCAAGCTTATCATGCACCGGCCCAGTAGAGTTAGTGGCGTGGTCCAGAAGCTCGCTCAGTTTCTCGTAGACCTGACCATTGGTACTCGTAGTATGGGTCAGAAGTTCGTCGAGCTTTTGATGTACTTGGTCATTCGTAACGCGTTCGACGAGAGTATTCAGGGTCTCTTGGACCTGGCTGCTTTTAGCACGATCGAGGAGGTCATTGAGCTTTTCCTGAACATGAGTATCATCATATTTCTCGGGCTCAGGCGGTGGCAAAGCAGGGAGTAGAGGGGTAATGGCGGAGGGAATTGTAGAAAGGTCCATCTTGAGGTCCTGCGCCGATCTCTGGGAGTGGTCGTAGTGCTGTCCGACAATGGAAAGGATCTCTTGAATGGACTCAAGCACCTGAGGATGGAACTCGTGTAGCTGACTTTCGACACGATCAGTTGCAGCTGCTGCGCGCTCGAGATCCGAACGAGCCTGCTCCTGTTGAGTCTTGACTTCGTTGTGCATCTCTTCCATCTTGTTGTAGGATACATCGACCTTTTCAAAGAAGGTTTGCGCATCTGTGCACATGCGCTCACAAGCCTCGTTAACGCTGTTGCCCATAGATCCAATGACAAGCCTGATGTCTTCGGCCAGAGCCTTGGTATTGGTAACAGCCTCAAGATGCGCATTATCACGTTCTGCGCTCTCAGAGAACTTGGAGTCGATAGCAGTCTGGATAGATGACTGGACCTCGTCATACTTGGCCACGATCTCACCCAGTTTTTCGTCAATCTTCGAGCCCAGTTCGACGATAATGGCGGCTCGGGTCTCGTCATGCTTGACCATCGCAGCAGCATCACGCTCTTCCTTCTCTAGCTTGGTCGCATCCTGTTCGCCCCGGGCGCGCTCGAATTCGCGGTTGATCAGCTCCGTGAGTTCGTTGACATTCTCAACTGTCGTGAAGCTTTCGGCAGACGCTGCCAGGCCTTCAAGTAGCTGCTTGAGCTCACTGAGCCCCTCATTGCTACCATCCAGCTTGCTCTTCAGCTCGTCTCCGAGCCCCTCTACGACAGCCCGAGCTTCCTCGATCTTTTCAGCAAGCCCGGCGTGCTCAACCTTTCGAGCATCAAAGGCTTGTCCCGTCATCTCGTTGTCAGCATCAACCTTCTCGCGGAACTCAGTAACAAGTGCCGTAAGATCTTGAATATCGGTCTTGGTCGGCAACGTCTCAATGTCGGGAAGCTTGAGCTCTTCGACCTGCGTCTTTACTTCAAAGATCATGGCTTCCACGGTCTGCAGGTCCGCCTTGACCAACTTTTCGGCATCGTTCTCCTCCGTTCCCTTGCCCTTCAGTTCGTCAAGAGCGATCCACATGTCTTTCATCAGGGTCTCCAAAGTACCAATTTCAGACTTTGTGGGGCCGTCCGATTCGAATCGAGTGCGAAGTTCAGACATGGCTTCTTTAGTTTCCTTGACGATACCTTCAAGGTTTGAAAGCTGCTCCGCTCTTGCGATCTCGTCAGGGGCAGGGAACGTCATCTCATCAAGCTGTGCCTTTGTGTTGCGCAGCAAGGTTTCAATGGCGTCTGTATCCTCCTTCTTGGCTGTCGCCTCATCTGCAGGCTGATCACGAGCGACGATGCCTGTTACTGAGCTCTGAAGTTCGTGTAGTCCAAGGAGGACTTCATCGAGGTGCTCTTTCTTCAGCATGTCTTCAGGAGCCTCCGCAGCGCGGGGAGCTGACTCAATTGCCTCTACTTTGACTTGAAGTTGGGTGATAAGGGCCTTCAGACCTTCGATATCGTTGCTGCTGGTGGAATCGACGGGTGGAGTGTCACCTGCAAGCATCAGTTCACCTCCACGAGTCGTTTCAACTTCCTCGCTCTCTTTCTGAGCTTGCCTCAGCATCTCAACATCTGCCTTCAGACTGCCAAGCCCTGATTTCAGCTCATCCAGCAGCTCCGAATAGTCGAACTCCACGTTCTTTTCCATGAGTTTTGCAAGGTCTTCCCGAATGGTGCCAACACCATCGTTCAAGGCTTCGATTACTTCACCATTAGTGAAGTTGTCGCTTTCGACAGCCTCTCTGGGCTGGCTTTGCTCGCCCTTGAAGCTGTCGAATCTTTCATGCAGCGCAGCAATAATCTCATCCTTGTCAGTCTTGGGCTCCGTAGGTTCCGCATGGACCAAGGTCATGTTCATTGAGTGACGGAGTTCCTCGAATTCTTGTTTGATAATGTTCGTGATGTCGTCGACATTCGTAGGCTTGTGCTGCTCAGACATCTCCCGGATTGCTCCAAGGATTGCATCACTGTCTATGCCCTTGTGTTGCTCGGACATATCGCGTACAACAGCAAGCACATCATCATTGTTGGCTGCCTTGAATTGATCTGACATTTCACGAATTGCTGCAAGAATCTCCTCGGTATTTGTGCTGTTCTGCTTTTCGGAAATTTCATGGATGGCAGCAAGAATCTCCTCGCTGTTCGTACCGCTTTGCTTCTCGGACATCTCACGGATGGCAGAGAGAATCTCATCACTGTTCGTGTTGTTCTGCTTCTCGGAGATTTCACGGAGGGCAGTAAGAATTTCATCGCTCGGCGCATCGGGTTTCTGTTCGAACGCTGCCGCAACTGCGGCAAGGATTGCATCATTGTTGGCAGACTTGTGCTCCTCCAATTGTTCACGAAGAGCTGCAAGCATATCCTCTCCAGGAGTACCCGCCTGCTTCTCCGACAGCTCGCGGATAGCCGCAAGAACATCATCGTTTTGCGAAGACTTTTGCTGTTCGGAGATGTCGCGGATGGCGTCGAGAATTTCGTCCTTCTCACTCGGTGCGTTGTTGCGAATTAACAAGGAGCTCATGGTCTGTCGCAGATGCTCGAATTCCTTCTCCATAGCGTCAAGAAGTTCTGGGGTATCCGGGTTACCGCGGGGCGCATTAGACATGGCGGTCTCAGTGATCGTCTTCTCCATGTCAGCCTGCAAAAGGCGGAACCCTTCCTTGACAGTGTCCATGATCTCATGCTTCCCGGAAGCTTCAGCTGCAGTTGAGGCGTAGCCTTCCACTTCCTGTCGCACGACAGCAATGCCATCTTTGATAGCGTTAAGCAGCTGCTCAGAGCTCTCTTCGCTGGCAGAGAAATGCTGGCCCATTTCCCCTTTTATGCCGTCCAGCTGCTCCTGAACACGTTCCAGCATCTGCTCGCCGACGCTTTGGTTCGCCTCATTGGCTTCCGCCAGACCAGCCGCGATAGCCTCCATAAGATCATCTCTGTTGAGTTCGATCTCTCTCGTGATTGAGTTCTGGCTTTCCATGCCTTCTGCGATGGCGTGCAGAATCTCATCACGGGACACAGTAGGTTGAACATTGGTGCTGACGACTGACTGCTGCGCAATGAATGCTTCATTTATTACGTTGGCAACGTCGTCCTTTGTGATGTGAGGGTGTTCGATGGCTTTGGTCGCTCCGAAATGCGCTTCTAGTCCTTCTGAGAGAGCACTCAAAATCTCATCACGACCAAGACCAGAGTCCAGTGTATCTCTTGTGAGAGCACTCTGGGACGTAACAGAGTGTGTGACGGCTTCTAAGATCTCATCGCGCATGCCATCAAGGTGTTCGCGCTCCACGCCTCGAGGTGCCGGAGGTTCAAAACCGGCAAGGCATTCGTGAATTGTTTGCACGATCTCTTCTTTTGTAATGTTGGGTGGTTGCGCGAAGCTCTGCATTCCAGCCTGGACAGCCGCCAAGACTTGGTCATAAGTAACGGCATCCTCGTGCTGCGGCCTATACTCTCTAAGCCCTTCTGACAAACACTCCAGGATCTCGTCTCGTTCCAAGCCGAAGTTTTGCAACTCGATCTCAGGCTTATATGTCTCCCAGGCTTCCCTAACGGTCTCTAGGATCTCTTCCTTTTCCATATTGACACCGTGGGGCTCGGGACGGAACTGAGACAAGTCAAGCTCATCTAGAGCCCTCTTGACGACAGAGTAGAGTTCGTTGCCATTCATGGCGGCTCTGAATTCCGAGATGGATGAAGAGTGGTGCCTACTCTCATCCATAATCGATGCGAGTTGGTCTCTAAGCTCGTGCAGGCTATTTTCGACGATACCAGCCAGTTCTTCGTGAGTGGGCCGATCCGGCCTATCTTCTATGGCGCGGGAAGTCCCGACTCCTTCGATTTGGCGAGCCAGATTCCTTCCCATTCCTAGAACTTCTCCTCGTAGTTCTCGTACAAGAGCTTTGACCTCGTTCGTCATGCCACCTCCTTCAATGACACTAGTCTTTACTCTTTTCATGATCGCTAGCATCTCGTCTGCCATTTCGGGATCGGCGGGCACCAAAGAGCGTTCCGCGGGCCGGACGTTGTGGGTTTCTATATCGGGAGAGTATGCATGTTCGTCGTCCAGCGACCTTGTTCCGGAACCATCTGGCTCTCCCTGCGGAGGGACGCTGTCGGCGCCGGCCCAAGCCTGAGAGCGTACCAAAGCCTTGTTTCCCGGGTCGTCCTTCACATGCTCGAGAATCTCTTCAAGCATCCTTGTGATCGTCTCGTCATTTGATGCTTCGTGGGTTTCGGAGACAGGCCTGGCTTTAATCTCCTCAACCATTTCTATAAGCTTGTCTTGACCTTCCTTCGTCCCCATCTCCCGGAGGACCTTCTCTAGTAATGCGATGCTGGCGGAACCATCGGAGATAGGCGTAGGAGATCCACACAATTCGCGCTCCATTGCTGCGGCAAATGGATTAGGGCTTGACATTCGTGGTGCTGAATAGCTCTTCTTCGAGCTCGGAGAACTATCCGATTCCCTGTTGTTAATACCGTTTTCAGAACCCAGGAGAGTACTGAAGTCCCACCTTGTGGCAGCATCAGAATCAAGGAACTTTGCGGCTAGGCTGGAGGACAAGTCACGAAGGCTCTTGCGAATATCCTCATCTCGGGCATTAGTCGCAGCTTTGAGACTGACCAGGTCCGTGGCATTGTCTCTACTTCGCCGGCTTAGTTGAACCATTTCGCGCTGAAGGTTACTCGCAATATCTGTGAGGCTGAGTATCTGGGTAGACAACGATTCGAAGGTGTGATTGTCGGGGCGCCTAGGCCCAATAAACGGGTCTGCATCGTTACTTTTTGGTTTCGATGGCTCGACGCTCTCGGTAGGCAGCTGCATGTTCTGCAAAGCTAACATCGTCGCCGACGGAGGTGTGCTTTCGCCTAAGATTGGCCTCGAAAGGTATCGGTTTGAAATCTGCAAGTTAGGCAGCTCTTGTTCATTGTCGCGCGAGTCCGCTGAGCCAGGAGCTTTCACAGGCGTTAATTCATGCTGCTTAGGGCTCTGATCAAAAGTCGACGCGCGGAGAGGCCGTTCTGGTGACCGGCTCTCGAGATAGTTTAAAAATTCATTGCGAGCATCTGTATTCTGTAGCGACTGCATACGCCTGTGAAATTGGCCCTTGATGAGGGACTTCTCTGGGGACTTCGGCGGCATGGGGTTGGTCGTATACGGGCTCGGTGCGTTTTCGCGCATCTTTTCTTGGAAATTCGCCGCCACGGCTTGGATGCCTGGGGAGACATTTCCTCTTGTAACAGGGCTAGTAGCACTGGGGTTCATGGGGAGCGGAGGGGGTGCCCGTTCGGGATCCGAACTGTCCCACCTTCGTTTCCACAGTCCACGGTCAGTCTGATGCGATTCATAGTTATAGCCCAAGAGAGGGGCTCAAAGATAGAGTTTGCACATACATGGGCACCGATTGATGTCTAACGACCAGTTCCCGGTCGCGGGACCCATCTCGTGTATGCGTAGGCATCATGTAACTTAATCGTCGTTAAAGCAAAAAAAAAACAGGGTATGTCTGTCGATGTTGGATATAAAGCAAGTCGATCGAGGGATATCAGGAATGTGCGAGAGGAATGTCCGTCAAAATCAAAGCAATTGGGGTCGTAAAGGGCATATCAAATCGTCAAAACAAAAACTAAAAAGACGCAGGAGGGGGGGAATTGAAAGACAATAGGCGACAAAAAAAAGGAACAGGATATAGAATGTAGAAGGAAGATGATGATACAAATGCGCTTGCTATGAGAGATGAGGGGAAACAAGGACGACGAAACACAATGCGACGAGACGGTTGCAAGAGACCAAGGAACACGAGCAGGCTCCAGAGGTTGAACAGTCAATATAAGAGACAATCAAACATCCAAGTGGAGTTCCTGGCTGAAAGGAACGGTAGCTCATGGGGCATCAACGGAAGCCCGATCCAATGTGCGGCGTACACATCGAAGCTACCGTCATAGCAACCGACGGTCCTTTGGTTGTCCGGTAAACAAAGAGCCAAGACCCGATCGAGGCGGTGAGTTTGTCCGACCTCCCCGATATCTCGGGCACTAGTCCGTTTGGAGAAACATTCCCAACTCGGCTAGTAGCCTTCAGTCGGTAAGGTGACCAATGAGATTTTGGCGCACAAAGCCCTGAGCCCTCTTCGCTCAGAAAAATAGAACGTCCAACGCGGAGAACCTCACTTACTCGACCGAAGCACATCGACAACCACCCCATCGACCTCCGCTCACCGGGACTTTCACAATGAAGTGTTAGTGAAATGCTGCATCACCTCGACTCTTGATTTTTCTCGTCTTCGAATCCAAACTGACAGGATGTTACGATAGTCATGAAAGTGGGCCGTGTGGCCATCATCACCCGTGGCCGTTACGCCGGTAAGAAGGTACGACAACCGATTTCTCCATTTTTTGGCGAGGACATACATATATATATACCCCGAGGTGGAATGGATTGGAAGGAATGATTTTTGCCGACTTGGAAGAAGAAATGAGTCTTCGATTTGCATGGGAATGAAACCATCGAGCGGAAACGCGATTTACGGACGAACTACCATGGGGAATATAACGAGCGGAATGTGCAAGGATAGATGTGCTGACGAGGGTTTTTTTCGCGAATGACAGGTCGTCATTGTCCAGCCTAACGACACTGGCTCCAAGGCGCACCCCTTCCCTTACGCCATCGTTGCCGGTATCGAGCGCTACCCCCTCAAGGTCACCCGCCGCATGGGTAAGAAGACCGTCGAGAAGCGCAGCCGCATCAAGCCCTTCATCAAGGTCGTCAACTACAACCACTTGATGCCCACTCGCTACACTCTCGAGCTCGAGGGTCTTAAGGGTGCCGTCTCCACCGAGACCTTCAAGGAGGTTTCCACCCGCGAGGATGCCAAGAAGAACGTCAAGAAGGCCCTTGAGGACCGCTACACCAGCGGCAAGAACCGTTGGTTCTTCACTCCTCTGCGTACGTCTTACTCTTATCACCTTTTTTTTTGGCCTTTTACGTTGGCTGGGTTAGGTTCGCAAATGCTGACGGTTCTGCAGGTTTCTAAACGGGGTAATTTGGGGCGTTTTGTCGTTTGAGCGCGCAGGGTCTTAGATGAGGCAAAGGGAAAATGAAAAAGCATCGAAGACGTCCGGTTCAAAAGCATGGGATCACGTGAAGTATACCATAGCACGAGAGAAGAATGGGAATGTATCGATGTACAGGTCCAGGACTTGACCAATTTTTCTTATCATGAGGGAGGCCACTCAGATCTGGCGTCCGTCTCGAAATGAAATGGAAAATATGAACAAATTCAACTTTTTTTTTTGTGTTTCGGAATTCTCGGCTTCCCAGGGGTTTACTCTTTACAACAAACGCATGGCACAACCTGGCGCAGACAAAGAACGCATCCGTACTACAGCAGCCGATTAGGTCCGGAAGAGATTACCAAGTCCGAAATCACCACGATTCGCTCGATCATTCCAATCAAAAGCATACTTATCACCTTGGGACGAAAGAATGCTATCGAATCATCCGACATCACGGGCCCTTCCAAGTTTCCCCTGTTTGCTTTGTCTTACGAGGAAAGGAAGGGAACATGTCTGTGTGTCGGGTCCGATCTAGATTTGGAAACCTACTTCCGTTCAACCTACCGAGCTTGTACTCCCATCCCCGCACGGCCGATATTCCCCGTACATGAAATCCCAGCTTATCCCACATGTTGGGGTAAAAGCGGAGTTCCATGCAGAAGCATATATCCCCACCTGTAGGAAACGTAGGCCAGGCCTATATTAGGGGATTATGTCATATTTTTGTAGATACGGTGCTCGTCTTTTGGTTCCGTCCAACGTGCGTAGTGGTGGATTAGTGCAAGGAGGCCATGTTCACTAGTGAATGTAGCACGGATGATGTTGCCCCTCCATCTAAATGACGGTAGCCCCGGCTTCTGCGCCTGAGCCAAACAAGCTAGGTACCAGAAAGGTAGGTGTAGCGCCAACTGGTGCTGGCAAGGTACTACATGGGGGTCCCATGTAGCCGTGGAAATGAGGAGGTGCTATTAGAGGTTGCGATCTGTGCACGTCGTTCCTTACCCGAGAGAGGGAGTAGCCGTCTAGGCGTGCGACAATCCCTCAGTTTCGGTTGTCGATAATGACCGGGTATTTACAATCCTGGCAGCATGGCAACAACTAGGATGGTTTAAGCTGCCGATGGGAATCCTTCAGGACATGTGAAAAGCCATTGGTTGTTGTAATCTACGCGGCCGGCGATTGCAGCAAGCAATCCACCAGGAGTAGGCCGTCCAGGTTGTTGGCGCCTTTTATCTCATTCTGCTTCCGATCGCCGGGTAGAGACACTGTGGTGGTGTTGAGGGAGGGGATGACCTTACGTCCGGACTGGGCGTCAATCATAAATCAGACTTTGAGCACAAAGACACTGCATTATGCTCAATATGTCAAAGTTGATCGGGATCGGGGTTTATGAATTGACCTCCGGGAAGGCTAGCGTCGACCGACATGCAGCAGCAAGACAATCAGACAGCATTGGAAAGTCCAGCACGGTACGACCATTGTCGCATGAACAGAAGTACGACGCATATGGTCAGCACTAGAGGAGACTGGCCTGGAGGCGAGCCCGTGGAAGATACTACAATGGGGACATATTCTGTCGAAGCTTGCTCAGATCTGGACAGCACTTGCAGGACTGCCACCACACGGTTGGCGTTGGTAGCGCCCAAGAGGACGAGTGGATCAAGCTAAACCCCTCTCTATCCCAGAATAATCTACGGAGCAGTCTGGATTGTAAGATGTCTTCCACGGAGAAAGGTGATGGTCCAAAGGGTCAAAGGGTCAAAGACGCCTCCAACCCCGGACCTGAGACGAGGTCCAGGCGCAAAGATGATGATGCTTGCACTTCCCGCAGGAGATCAACGAGAGCGGTTACCCATCTGGTACAAAAGGAAAAGCAGGGGGAAAGCAGTAGTCCGTTTTCCGGATGTACTGATCCTCAACGTTTACCCTCCAGCTGGTTGCTTCTTGAGACTAGTACTCCGGATCGTTGGGGTGAAAATTGGGGATCCGGTTTCCTTGTGACAGTCACCGTGAATAGGCGCCCTGATAAGCATGCGGCGCGAACCACGGCAGAGTCTTGTTCTTATCGGAGCCACGAGGAATTCCAGTCAAGGGCCACTGTAAGGTTAGCAATTCGTGCATGTTTCCAAACGAATACTTGAAGGATGGCATATAATCACGGCCGGTAAGATCAAGATGGATAGGGAAATGACATTAGGCATGAGGATTGTGTTCGGGAATGAACTATTATGACAGTTAGTGTAGTAAGTAGCAGGAAGACCAGCCGACGGGCGATTAGAGAACGAGGGCCGCCCGACCCGCAATCACATGCTATCAGCCCATCCCGCGATTCCAAGCCAAAAACCTTCCAAGTCAAATCAACTGTTCGCAACTTCCGGATTCCATCATCATCCACACACTGCACTGCTGCAACTACATTCAGCCTGTTGCCCCGAATTAAGGCCCTAATTTGCTGTTCCGATGCCTGTCATTCATTTGTTTGACTTGGTTCTTGCCACTCCGACAACGCAACCGTTACCGCCGTTATCGAGACCAAAATCATGAATCGTTCGATTCTCATTGCGTTCCAGCCATGACTACTCTATACATGACTAAGAAAGAGGGAACCATGTAGGCACAAGTGCGGGTGGCTTGCTCGACACGGCCTTCCGAGGGGGTCTGAACTCACTCTGTCCAGTTCTGAATCCTTATTTCATATCCTCACTGCTCCGCGATAGCAACTGGTACTATGTTCAGTGCGAATTCGGATGCGAGCTGTCGGGGGAGCGCGGGCGCGAGCGCACGGTAGGAGATGCACGATCCTGGTCAATCCAATCTTGGGTCGCGTTTTCTCCAGGCTCATCCCAGGTTCCAGGCCCTGCAGGTGAAATGATAATGACGATGAAGCCGCCGGATTGAGCACGCAACAAGTAACTCCGTCCTACGACGGTCTAAAACTCCTGGAACCAACGGCTGGCTTGCCCCTCCATTCAAGCTCCAAGCGACTTGTTCACCAACGGGCCCGCTATCACATGCTGCCAACTCGCTCTCGCTCTCTTTTTCAATTTCTTACCCAGAAAAATAAGTAAAATATTTATTTTTTTTGTTATCCCATGATAAATCAAACTAACATAAAGAAAGACGATAATTAAAAAATAAAATTTAGCACAGAAAGAAAATTTGAAACTAATCAAATCACTCAAGCCTCATAAATTCTAGCTATCGGATCGACTGATGGCGTGTTCGCTCTTCTCTCCTCTGAACCTACCTTAAATTTAACTACGGTTCACCTCTTTCCGGTCCATCCCAACTGCTCCCGTATTCCGTCTTTCCTTCTGCAAATGTAAGTGATGTTCTTTCCCCCCTCACCCCTCCATTCCCTTTATTATCCTCACCATCCCCATCCTCCTCACTTTCCGCTTCTTGTCACCGCTTCTTCACGTCTGACCCTCCATAGCTCGTCTTGTCCACCAGAACCTATATAGCTTTGAGCATTCTATTGTCGGGTAAGGGTCTATCTTATCGTCCCGCTACTCTATACTTCCTTTCCTATTCTAATGCGATTTGCATGTGATAGAAACTTATGCCTCACGCAGAAAACGGCATTATGGGCGAGAACTCTGTCAACGGGGAGGCTATCCACTCCCAATTCCTCGATGTAAGTTACCCATGCACGATTGTCGATCGCTTCTAACATGCGCTAATCTCTATTTCCTATGGTAGCACCTGACATCCTATCCTGTTGTCTCCGACTCTATCACCGTCATCAAGACCAACAAGTACGCCGCGAGGTCTCTGGAATATGCCGACCAAGGCTACTCTCGCTTAGCCAAGCCGTTCCTTCCTTACTTCTCCAAGCCGTATGGCTTCGTTGCTCCGTATGTCGCGCGCGTAGATACTCTCGGAGACAAAGGCCTGAGCAAGGTTGATGAAACGTTCCCATTTATCAGAGATGATACAACCACGCTCAAGGGATCGATCAAAGATGGTGTCTCATTCCCAGTGCGATTCGTTTATGACCTAAAGGGTCATGTTTTTGACACTTACAGTTCTGAGTACAAGAAGTGTGGTGGGGACGGAATGGTTGCGAGCGGTAAGGCCGTCATCACCACCGGCTTGGTGCTCTCGCAGGAGTCGCTAGCCTATATCAGCTCCTTGCTTCAGGCCAAGAAAGCCCAAGTTAAGGATGCAGTCAACGAAAAGACTGACAACTAAACTCTCGCAATGTTAATCTTTATTCCTGTTTCAGCTGGTCTGTTGTCTTGCGATGAGGTAATTCTTTTGCGTGTTTGTTGTTTAGATCGTTTTGCTCTGGGAGGCCTGTCTCCTTTATTCGGTTTGTCTTGGACATAGGCGGTTGCGTTCAATTCTCCATGTGCTCATGCGGCTTGCATTGGATACATACACAGGCTTGGTAATGGTAGCTAGGGATTAATTGACTTTCATGAAATGTCCGTGCCAGCGGTCTGTGGTAGATCGGTAACAAAAATAAAGCAAAAAGTAATATGACAAAAATTTATCTCCCCGACTGGGAGTCGAACCCAGGTCTCCCGCGCTTGTTCCCAATAGGGATTGACAAGCGGAAATCATGACCGTTAGACCATCGAGGATTTGATATGTTATTCAGGTAATATTTTGGTTACATAAAGCTAGACTCAGTGGTGGGGGTTGTGGCTGCTTTCGGACCGGTTAGGGCTATTCAGGTGGGGTGGTTGCTACCATCTATCTACTGAAGGAGGGAGTAGATATGGGAGTATGTATGTATGTATGTAGTTTGGTTCTAGGTTGTAGTTACTTTGGACTTCGGTTGTAGTTGGAGGTATATAGTATAGGGGTTGGTTTGGTAGAGGGAGGGTTATGGGGAGTGAAATGTATTGGACTGGGTATCTATCCTGACGGAGCGTCGTCGGCGGTATGATGTAGATAAGTTTGATTGATATGGAAGTGGGGAGTTGTTGTGGGATTGCTATATTTTTTGGGGCATTTCTGCATGTGAATAGGCCTCAGTCCTCTTTATTTTGCTTGTTAGACGTACAAGCAATGGATTGTTGTAATTGACTTATGTATTATGTCTGTATACTTGAGCTGTCGCCGATTCTTTGCTACTTTGATGAATTAGTAGACCCCTGCTAGTATAGCATAAGTTAGAGACCTCCCACAACGAAGATCCTCGATGGTCTAACGGTCATGATTTCCGCTTGTCAATCCCTCTTGGGAACAAGCGCGGGAGACCTGGGTTCGACTCCCAGTCGGGGAGGGTTTCTTTTTTTGCGTTTGGGTTTTTGGAGATGGGGTTGGTGGTGGTTGGTTGGGTAAAGGAATAGAGAGTGGTGTGTTGTTATACATTTTGGGTGGGTGGGTTTCTGACGTTTTTGCATTTCAAGTTATTGAAGTATTGACTACTTACGATCATAAATTTTTGGTTATGGTTGTTGCTGATGTCTCACGAGTGGGATAGGATATCTTTACATTAGATCATGTTGGTAATCGCTACTTGGGGATCGCTTTAGGACTGAGTGAGTGTTAGGGAAATGATAAAGGATCTGTGGTCTTTTGTTCGCTGGACCTATACCGTCTGTTGAGGATATACTTTTCTACTAAGTAGTTCTAGTGTGGTTATCACTTGTAGCATCGATCTTGTCTTGGTAAAAATGCACTATTGTCGATGACTTCTCCGGAGATCAGCTGCAATCCAAGCATACCGGTCCTCAACTTTCTTAAGTGTGTCGAGTGATTGCGTGTCGCCAAAATATTTGTGCACTTCGGGAATCTCAGGATCCTTCTTACTCAAACCCGTGAAGGCATGTCGCATATCATCTGTCCGGAAGACCGGTTTGTTCTCGGGCTGTCTCGCTGCCGTTCCCATGCAGTATTGCAGTAATGCGGCTAGTCCAGCTGCAACAGCTGTCGCTAATGAGCTACCGGACAGCGACTGTAGTGGAAACTGAGGAGATTGCATCTGATCCCTTAACGGTAGGTTTTCTCCTGGAAGATAGTAGTCCAGTTTCTGTGCACCAGTCCTGGACCATTTCGCACCATCGATGGTGGCTGCACCAATCCTGAGTGGATCGCTGAACGCAGCAGGGAGATCATTGTTATCCAGAGAAACGCTAGTGTTCCCGTAGTCGCTTGCAGCACAGAACATGGTGATTCCTTTATCGTATGCGGCGCGGATACAGCTCTGGAAATCGTTATACAGGTCCCCGGACATCTTGCTCTGATTTATGCTCCAGCTCATAGAGATGATATGCACACCGGCATTAGTAGCCCATTTGATCGCCTTGACTGCTGTTTCTGGTTTAATCTGTCGCACTCCTTTTTCCCCATGTCCCTCGCCGAGGCGAATAATGTATAAGCGCGCTTTGGGACAGATACGACAAATCAACTTGGCCATTTCCGTTCCATGACCACCAGGTGCCGACCAGTAGTCGATGGGGCGATCGGGACGACCGGGCCGGTGATGAAAGGAAGTTCCACCATCAATGTTCTCCTGCAGATTTCTTTGGAGCGGGTCGATTCCGTCATCAATAATAGCCACCTTCACAGTGGGTGCATACTTCTCCAGGTGCCGGTGGTAGTTCTTGACGATAAGCGCAAACTGGTCCATCGTATCCAGCCAGGGATGCTTGCTGATAAAGCGAATAACGTTAGTTTGTCGTTTGAGCAAGCCAGAAGGGAATGAGGGGAGCGCTACCTGCTGATGGCTGTCGCCTGACTGTGGAGGTGGATCTGCGGCGAGTTGCAATTCATCATTCTCTCTTCCACAACCTCGATTTCCGGCCGGATTTCACGTAGCCTCTGCTTGAACTGATCTAGATAAAGGGTAATCCTTTCCTCTGAGATAACTCCCTGGATAGTAATTTTCGACCCTCTTTAGTGAAACTCACAAATTCTTGGTGGAATCGGATACCTACTCGTTGGATGCTGAGGTGAAGTTTTTCCAACTATACCCAGTCATCAGCACACGCTTCAGAATTGAGAACTTGTCAGCTCTTACCCTTTTTAGCTTTTCGAGGCCGCCAGGGGCTGACCAACCGCGCAAAACTTCGTTGTTACTGCTGGAGTATAGATACAGCTCACGTACGCCCGGTGCGGCGTTGAAGATGGCATCGCTCGGCATATCGAATCGGTTCCAGTTGAGAATTTCAACTCCAAAGCCCCGGAGAGCCATCTCAATGGCTTCTTCACAATGGGGAGTATTGCAGTTATCAACTACACTGACATCAATGATTTCACTGACCCCTTTGCTCCGCAACCATTGGAAGACTTTTACAAAGTCGACCCTTCCAGGCAGAGAGGACGTGCGCCGCGACTCCTCTTGGTCACTCTGGGAATCTTCCAGGAGGTCATCTCCACCACTGACGGTCAGGCACGGTAGGTCGACGTGGTGGAGGATGCTCTCGAATTGGAGATGGCGGGCCAATTTAGTTAGGCGCTGGTATTCATAGCTATTCTCTGTGTCATTGGAGAGATCGAAATAGATTGTTTTTCCTACACCAGGTCCCGTGCCATGAGGCTGAGTACCTGTCGTTCGAACATCGTATAAGATTTCTTTCAGCTCATCTACCGAAAGCCCTCTCATATAAAGGCGTTTTATATCCTCCGTTAGCTTTCTCAACACTGTATAGTTCTTCGCGGACCCAAGCAGCTCATATGGTAGCCTAATGTCCTCGGTGCGCTTATAAAATTCCCTCGGGCAACGCGTGGTCAGGTCCTGGACCCAATAAATAAGGCACTCGATATTCGGAGACGGTTGAGAGGGCGGCGGCGAAGCAAAGGAGTCTCCAATAGCTTTGACCGCGACGTGTAAGGGCGTTCGGCCAATGTCATCGGTGTGGGAGCCTTGGGATGTTCAGTTAAGGCAAAGTTGATAAATCTAATCATTTGGGGAAGATTGTTTGTGGTCAAGCCAGTGTTGTGTCGTGCAAGGGTGTTAATAGCCACATGCAACGGGGTTTGGCCCTTTTTGTCCCTGCAGGCAAAGAGATCCACCAGAATTTTGTGACGCTGCTGAGCATCTGAAACTTCAATCAAAGCCTTATGGGCTATTTCAACGATAGGCAGCATTGATTGAAGTATTATATGCAGAAGATTACCATTTCCGCATTCCTGGCCCAGTGCTGGAATCTTCTGGCTGGTTTTCAGAATGGCCTTGATAAACTTTTGGTTGCGTTTGTCCTGGTTGCCCGCGATATGCGGCGCTGTAAACCCGTCTTGATTCCTTTGATGGACTAGTTCTGGATAATCGCCAACCAAGTGTTTCACCAGTAATTGACCCTTCTGTTGTCGTGCAAAGTGGTGAAGCAAGGTCTCCCCTTTTTCGCCTACAGCCCCAAGCACATCCCTATAATCTGTGAGGAACCTGTCCTCCAAGGTACTGCTCAACAGACTTTGCGTCAAATTTGATCTGCTTGTACTTATTGCAGATATCGCGATGACTTCTTATAATATCCTTCAACTTCCTATCCTCGTTACTGAGATGTTGGAATGTTCCCTCTCCCTCTTTCGTCGTCGTCCTCCTCGCCCTCACTTCCGTCGTCTCCCTCTCCCAGGCCCAGGGCTGGCTGTCTTTTCAAGACCCGGGAATAGGTCTTCTTGTTGTAGAGCAAGTTCTTGATTATTACCTTGAGATTCCCAGCCCAAAAAAGTATTGTAGCTAACACCTCTCTTTCCTTCAAAGGCGCTAGTGATCGCCCACCACTACCAACAGTTCCAATCGATTAGCCATGAAACGTCTCTCATAGTAAGGATTCCTCTGAGCACACAATTTGTGCGCGGATTTGCTGCACAAAAAGCTAACAGAAGTCCGTTCAGGGCTTTCTGGAGGCCGAAGAACTGGAAGAAATCGGAAAATCGTGGGAAGATATCAGTCTACGCACAGCTGTTCGATTGCACCAGCGGTATGGATGGGGCATTGCGACGACATTAGGTCACCTAGCTACAACAATGAAAGAAACCCATGGTGCCTTCACTTTGCTTTCCGGGCGATATAGGACACTCACATCTAAGCAAACAACAGCTCTCCGGACAGTGAAAGCGAACGATGAGGTATTAAGTGAGGGGCAAGTTCTCTTAAGCCAAATCAGACGTTTAGCGATGCCCTTTCTAGAAGGTATGGAATAGTTGTCTACTTCGTGGAACTGATTAAAGTAGCTGTAGGGCTGATATCCAGACCAATAGGTTCCCAACAATCGTTGCACGCCGTGTACGGCCGAAAGGCCCGCAACCTAATCCTCTCCAAATTTGACCCCCTCGCATGTTCGCAGACTGATGCCATATACAGCTTGCTCCCAAGCACATGATCTCCCATATTCTGATACAACCTACCAGTCATGGAGAAATAATGGTAACGCTGGAGTATTCTATGTATATGGGGGTGGGAAGATGGAAACTGCGCAGGTCTCAGAATTATTGGCAGAGGAGACGATGGTGACAGCCCACTTATCTTTCGAAGATGTCCCATGTTTTGAGAGAACAGTATGAGCCGTCATGAAAGTGCTCATTTATAGGTTCCTGGTCACTGTTGCCTCCGCCTTCGATATCATTCGACCCGTTCTACGCTCTTTCGGTCAGAGACCGAACTACACTGTCGAAGAGTTATGGGTCATTCTTGGATCATTATTGTCATGTCCTGATGTTCAATCCATCTATTATGTAATTGATGGAATTGATTTGTGCAATGACAGCATAACAGATCAGTTAGATGCACTTGTTAGATAGCCTATGCCTAAAGTATGTGCTGCAATGTGCTTGCCACAAGTCGAACACTCAGCAATGCAACATCTGGGGAAGCGCCTGCGTCAAATTTGAATTCGTTGTTATTACAGCACGGAAATTTAAAGAATTTCGTCCGGCGTACTATGCTGCAGTTAATGACGCAAACACGCGGCCTCGCGGAGCTTGAGCAGGTAATCGTCAATGGGCTTCAGGGATCTGCATCCCCTTCAGATATCAACATTGGATTGCAAGCCTTACTACACCTCGCCAGACCACTAAGTGTCTGCTCAATAGAGGGGAGCCTCCCACTTTTGCAGATACCGCTGCCAAAGCTATATGCACGGATTCTGGGCCCGCTGAATGCTCTAATGCCATGGGTGCGCAGGGCTTTGTCTTGGATGGTGTTTAGTTTCCGGCCGCTTAGTATATATGAGCTAGCCATTGCTGTTATAAGAGCAGGAGTTGCTTCGCCAACGACCTCTTGATCTTGAGGGCGACTTGACCCGTGCCTTGGGACCGCTGATTGAAATTCGCAACAGCCAACCTATGTTTGCGAGCGAATCCGTCAGAGAATATATCCGAAAGGAGCTCACAGCAAAGTTGGGCTTCGGTACCGACGCTCAAGCTTGCGATCTGTTATCGCACGTTGATTTAACTCGTCATTGTCTCACATTTCTGAAACACTCTTGGGTGACTCAAGCCAGCCCAGCCCATAAATATTATAGTTTCTTGGGACAGAGCGGAATGGAGTTCAGCGAATACGCGACACGATACTGGCCATAACATTACCGCGCAGAAGAAGATAGAGATGTTCTTACTTATGAAATCATATATTTCTTCTTACAGGGCAACTGTGGAAAACGTTGGGCAGAGTGGTGGCGGAATGTGCATTATGTCGACAGCATAGACTCCTTCAAACCCACCCCTCTTGCTCTTGCTGCGGAACGTGGCCTATGCGAGGTCGTTTCTAAACTGATATGTCCCACCGAGAACAAGTCTGTTTCTTCACGGGAAATGACTGAGGCCTTAGAGGTAGCATTACAATTCGGTCACCTGGACGTGGCCCGCCAGTTGCTGCTCGACACGACCCCTTTGAATGAATCACTTACTCTTGTTACTAGGACAGGGGACACAGAGCTTGTTACTAACATACTCCACAAGATCGATGTTCTGGAATCTGTCTGTCTTGAGCCACTTAAAGTGGCAGTCATACGTGGACATCTTGCAACAATTGATATCTTGCTGCAGCTGCTTCCAGATTTGCCATCGGCTCTCCAAGATAACACATATCTGTACCTCGACGCCATTAGATCAGGGCAGTTCCAAGCTTTGAAACACCTCCTCAATGTTGGAGGCGCACGATCACCAGAGGATGTTGAGTCAAGTTTGCTTCGCTTGGCTGCCCAAAGAGGCGACATCGGTGTCATTCGCTTGCTTCTGGCCGAGGGCTTCAGGGCAGATGGGAAAGATGAGAACGGCTGGACAACCCTACATCATTCCGCTGACAAGAGGCGCGCTAACGTTGTTACTGAACTTTTACCGTCGCACGACGCTGAGGCCAAGGATTATAGTGGGGTGTCACCGTTGCATCTTGGCTGCAAGAATGGAAGCGTTTCGACATTTGTCGCACTTATGACGGCGAAAAGCCTTAGCTTCAAATCCCCCAACTCTGACGGGGACCAGGCAATCCATTTAGCTGCAGCAGGAGGCCACCTCCAGATTGTTGTACGTCTTGTGGAGATGGGTGCTGATCCAAACATTCCGAATCGCAGAGGGTTCACGCCGTTACACTTGGCCGCCGCTCAAGCGGGCCACCTGGAGGTCATTTGGGAACTTATTCGCCGAGCAGAAGATCGACTGCCGGTCAGTCAAACAGCGGATGAAACTCCACGCATAGGATCCCGCGGGGATGTCAGCGAGCAGATCGGAGAGCCAGCGGCGGCCGGAGACAGTCTGAAGGCTCGCAAGAATGACAGCAGTACCGGTGGTGATAATGAGGAAGAAGGGGAAGAAGGGGAGGAAGAGGAAAGTAGTGATGGAGATGCCGAGGAGGAAGCAGGGAATCAAGACTATGCGCACGAACCAACCCCTTTGCATTCGGCAGCTTTAAGAGGCTATGATGACGTTGTAAGGGAGCTCCTCGAGGCGCACGCTGATCCTAATTATGGGAACCAACATGAAAAACCGCCCCTGCACCTGGCAGTTCAAGATGGTCAAACGGCTGTTGTAAAGACGCTGCTTGATGGAGGCGCCGACCCGAGTCTGTGTGGTATGGATGGACGTCTGCCAATTCATCTTGCTTCTGAAGCTGGGGACATTTTCATTTTCCGAGCCCTTCAGCAAGTCGTGTCTTACGTGGAAGCGGTCGATGACCGAGGCAGGACTCCGTTGCATATTTGTGCCGGGCATGCATATGAGGGACTGATCCAACTACTGCTCGATCAAGGAGCCGATCCCAACGCTATCAATGCTGACGGACAAAGCCCCTTGTACTGCGCGATTCAAAGTGGCAACCCACAGGTATTCAGGAAATTGTTGGATGCCGGTGCCGAAATTAATGATGCAAGTAAAAGCCAGTGTGCACTGCTTTATGAAGCAGTACGTGCTGGGCAAGACGAGAATATTATCCGGCTACTGATGGAGGCCGGTTGCAACCCACTGGCGAAAGGTCCGAATTGGAGAAAGCGGTTACAACTGGCTCTTGCAGCAAACGATCCGGCCATGGTGTTCCAGCTCTTAGAACGTGTCGGACCAAATTTTCGTCAGTGGCGGAATATTCAGAGTGTCTTTGATGGCTTGCAGAAACGGGTTGTATTGAGGGAGTCAAGAAGGTTCTGAAGGAAGCAGGCGATGGCACACTGGAGTGTGAACCCTATGAGGTGAGCGCTTTGCACATGGCAGCAAGAAGAGGGAATGAGGAGTTGGTAGAATATCTTTTGGATCGGGGCGCAAACCTAGACGCACGAGATATTTGTGGAGAGACGCCTTTGATTTCTGCATGTCTTATGTCTCAACGTGTCGTGCCTTTTGGGGGTTCGGTACACTTGTGTTTAGCTGTTTAGACATATTTCGATGGGCATATTGTTTGATATCATGTCTTGGGTTATTATTCGACGGTATATAGGGTCAGGATGGTCTGTCGGATGGGACAATTTACTATGAGATCTTAGATTAAGGTTGTACCTCGATCTAACCATATACCCTGTTTATTATGGCATGAGGGTGGAGAAGATGGATGGTCTCCGTATGCTTGTTGGGTAAATTGATCCCTTTAACGTTATATTCAGTATTGTAAAAATGATGCATAGTATAGGGTAGAATGTATAATAAGAGCTTTATGACATGCCTGCTACGATTCACTTGTTCTGTTGTTTTTTTTTTTTTTTTTTTTTTTTTTTTTTCGGTGTACTAGTATATGTGTCGAGCTGGAGGCATACGGAAGCTGGCTTAGGTATGCGACATCTAACAGTAAGTTTCCATTTGGGATAAAGAATCATTGGTGTATTGGTTTATCGTGGGTTGGTATGTGGCTGGGAGATAGGGCATTTCATGGTTGGCTTGTAGATGTATTCTTTATTACTTGTTAGTTTGGTAGCTAGTCTTGGTTCAACCCTACTGCTAGGATACAGTTTGATCACTCAACTGAAGATCCCAATTGATGTCAAAGGTATTTAATAACAATCACATAACCCACCAGGTCCTCCGACTCACGATTACGCACATGTTTTATAGAGAACGAACTATCCAACCATCCATATCTATACCAAACATCTGTACTACACTGTCTTATACTCCACTAAACCGGAAAGGGCTGTTTAACCGCAACACCATCATAACCCCTCCAGCGATTTGTTATACTGTTTGATGTTTATGCTTTGTTTTTCACGCTAGTTCATCCTAGTCATAAAAAGATCTGATACATACGACCACAGGGTGTGGAAAACAGGGCTTCCCGTCCGCTCAGCCGTACTTAAGCCACACGCCGGGAGGTTAGTAGTTGGGTGGGTGACCACCAGCGAATCCCTTCTGTTGTATGTAATCTACATTTTTATCTTTTTATTGTTTTTGTCTATTGCGTTATCCAGATCCTTCTCTCTAACCCTCATTGGACTTAACATGTTGTATTATTCCTGAGCTAATGGTTGGCGTGTTGGCATATAAAGATCATCCCGCGTGCCTACACCCGCATGTTGAATGCTATCTCGAAGCAAAGCCATGATGGATCATCACTTACAGGATGCCGACAGCAGCGCTAAGAACGAAGTGATTTCTTTCGATAGGTCCCAAGAAGCGCTTATAGCATTATTTCTGACATGATTAGCTAGTCTCATGCCTGGCAAGCTCCTCAACGGGTGGATCAAGGTCGTCAAGAGAAGCCTTTCGGGCGCCTGCATGTTTGAGTTTTGAATGCGCCGTGGCTTGCCCGTGTCAGTACAGGGTTTCCCCTTAGACTTTATATCCGCCATGAGATCATTGTTAATTTGGCAGATCGATCGAAACTAACAGTCTTGTCCTTTGGAGCTCAACACACGTTTATTCGGGGCGAAGCGAGGTTGCTCTTAAGAAGGTCTTTTCCCATCTATCTCGGATGCAGCATTTTCGACACCCACGATGTTCTTGTCCAATAACTCCAGGACTAAGTGAAATTAAGATGATCAACTGACTAGTATGTCCAGCACGTGCCCCGGGGCAAGGTACCGGATTGTGAGGTCGTGTATCCTCGCCCCGGACTTCACTATGTCCCTCATTGACACTCTCCATCCACACCACTGTGAAAACCCCTGGAGAAGACACAGCCAGCAACTCAACGGGTCGGTGGCTTAACTCATCAATGGGAACTTGTCAGGCCAGATTCGCTATATCATGGATCAAAAGCCGAGGTACCCATCGACGGGCTCCTTCGTGTTTGTCAACTGCGAAATGCGCGACCAGTCTTTGTGGGTTTGCAACTCTCATCTTTGCTCTTAAAAGAGTATAATCGGTCGAGTTCATCATTAGCTATGACTCGTTGCTCTCCGGGAGAGATCGGCGAGGGAAAGATAAGCTATTAACCAAGCAAATCAGATTGTTGTACTGACAACTCGAGATACGAAGCAAGGTACTTCCTCCTTGACACGGTTCACTGCAGACATCCTTCTATCAGCGCCTTCCTTTATCCTCTGCATGTGGACAGCCCAGATTAGGTTAATATAATAAACAGAATACCTATGCGGCTGTGCCATTGAGGTCCTGTCATCCGTGCAACACCCGAGCATGATGCCTAATATACGGTCGTCTCCGGCCAACACCACATATTGATGTGAGATAGAGCACTCAAATTTTCACCGACAGCAGGTTTTAGCTGCAGCTCACTGACTCATAGTGTGATGCCGCGTTCGGAAACCGAGCCGAAGTTGGACGAGGAGCTCGCTGAAAGGCCCGATAGGATCATCCCGCCGATGATCCTTCAGCCCAGGCCCGTAACCCAATCTGGCCCCCGCCGTATGCCTGACCGAGTATATCTCCAGCGCCCCGCTCTCTTTTGGCCCCTGCTACTCAGTTCTAGCAGAAACATAATTTCAATCATGGCGCTCGAGCAAAAGTCAGCCGCCTCCATCGCCGAGCAGCCCTGGCGCTCAACAGACTTGCAAGGCCCGTCTGACCTTAGCGCCGCGCATTCCACTGCCAACTACGGCAGACCCCGATCATTCGAGATCGTTGAACCACCAGCCCAGATCTCCACCAGCACTTTTCACGTCCGTGACACTACTCCCCATGATATATTTCCAGATGGTGGAACCCGGTCATGGGTTGTTGTTCTGGGGTCCTTTTTCCTACTGATGAGCAGTTACGGCATGATGAACTCTACTGGTGTCCTGCAGAGTTATTTTGCCAGCCACCAGCTCTCGGACTACACCAGTAGTGTCATCGGTTGGATCCCGGGTCTATTTGTCTTCTGTGGCCTAGGCTTGGGCGCCCAGGTTGGTCCGATGTTCGACAGGTACGGACCTACGGGCATTCTCATCGCTGGGACGGCTTGCTACGTCGCGGGCCTGCTACTGATGGCTGAATGCCAACTCTACTGGCAATTTATCCTGACCTTCGGTGTTCTCACTGGCATGGGCGCTGCTCTGTTGAGCACGGCTGCCATTTCTGCCGTTCCCCATTGGTTCGATCGCCGAGTTGGCTTGGCCATGGGCACGGCGATGGCCGGGGCGGGTGTTGGGGGAGTGGTGTTCCCCTGGGTTCTCCGGGCAGGGTTTAAGGACCTTGGATATAAGTGGACCATGCGGCTGCTTGCATTGATTGTGGGGACCTTGTGTGCAATGGGAATCGCTTTTGTTCGTTCTCGTCTACCAAGGAGCCAGAGCAAGCCGAGCATCAACGTGCGTGCCTTTCGGGACGGGAGGTTTACCTGGTTGACCATGGGAACATTCAGTAAGTCAAATACACTGCTAGGTGGTTGGTACATTGCCAGCCTGCTAATTATCTGTAGTCATGGAGCTGGAAGTCTTTGGCTGCCTGGGTCTTTACCCGACATATGTTGTAATGCAGGGATTTGGCACGACCACCAGCATCATCCTCCTGTCTATCTTGAACGTGTAGGGGCCGACATGATCTCATTACTCTGAAAAGCCGGTCAAATCTGATTGCAGTGCTCTAGGTTCTCTACCATTGGTCGCCTCGTCGCTGGTGGTGTCGCAGACAAGTATGGGCGAATCAACACGCAGATAGGACTGCTCGGCCTCGGTGCCGTGGCGGTCTTTGTCATCTGGCTACCCTTCGGAAGCAAATTGGCGGGACTCTATATCTTCAGTTGTGTATATGGATTTGCTTCCGGTTCCTTTATTAGTCTGGCGCCAGCTTGCATCGGTCAAATTTCCAAAGCCAGTGAAGTGGGTGGGAGATTCGGGGTTTGCTATCTGACCGTCAGCTTTGCGTATGCCGCCCGAACTCTTGTAGAGGAGTGTGCTAATAAATCTGAGCAGTACTTTGATCAGTATCCCCATTGGTGGTGAGATGATCGAAACCGTCGGAAAGCAGGCCATGGTGGCCTTTCTCGGTGCCGTTCTGGTCATCGCGATGGGCATGTTCTCCATGGCGCGATGGTCGTGCCTTCATTACCGATGGCGGTGGCAGGCTAAAATCTAAACTGTGTTTGGTAAGAATCCAGTGCGACCAACTGAGTAAGATGCATCGGGTGATAAAAGTTTCAAATTTGGTTTCAACTTTCGGTGTCCTTTTCTATCTAATATCACCCCTTGGATGGCTTTTGGGGTGTTTGAGGCAGTCCTGGCACCACATCAGCCAGTGGCACATGACTATTGGTTTCATCTCTTTCTAATTCCTGTGAAGCTTATTTAATCGGGCACATTCACCTCTGGCATGTCATCGTTGGGGGGAGTCCTTTGCTGTTGATGCCGCCAGAAACATCGAGTTAGGGCTGCGCGGGAACATCGTGGCCGTGATTGGTGCATTAACCCAATTGAATTAATATCCCGCCGGAGCCAACCCGAGCAATACAAGCATAGGATATTTCTTGTCATGGGCATATGGTAGAGCATCTACCGTCTATGTACGCTTCTGTAACTTACCGACAGGTATAGACTTCCTGTTACGGCGTTTACGTTGAGGATGGTTGTAGACGCACGTACGTTGGTGGCCGTGTGTAGATCAGGGCAAGATCTCGATCTTTGTTATGCTTGTTCGGTCTATGCTTATCTGGTGATAAGTGGCTGTATTCATTCTATCTGGTGGTGCCGTGAATATATATTGGCTGGACCGGATATGCTGGTACTAGTATTAGTCCTAGTAGCAAGCAACCGACAACCACACGGCGCACAGCTTGACAATCAAACTAGCACATACACTTAGCCTCATTAGAGTATCCTCATTATCATTTACACCGTGTCAACCCAAAAAACACCCTAAAACCAATAGAGTCAACGAAACTTCCCTCAAAGGCAACATAAACCCCCAAGTACTATCTCCACACATAGTGTCAAAAATAGCAAAACCAACATATCAAATCCTCGATGGTCTAACGGTCATGATTTCCGCTTGTCAATCCCTTTCGGGAACAAGCGCGGGAGACCTGGGTTCGACTCCCAGTCGGGGAGATATCTTTTTTCCCCCCTTCCACTATTCTTTTTTTTTTTTTTTTTTGCTATTGATTACTATCCCCTGCCACTTATTGGGCACAAAGCATCTCCTTTCATATTCGTATTTGGCATTTCTGCCACTAGCTCACCCACGGTACAACTGCACATGCAATACTAGTTGATCGAACTAGCGTCTAATAGAACAAAGAGAACCGTATACCGAAACCCTCCAAATTAGGTCCTGTTACTATGTGGCTAAAGTTATTTTTACACACCAAATAACAAGTCTACCCCGTAAACACCGTCCACACAGTAACTAAGTAGCCAACCATCTCAATGAAAGCTCAAAGCACACATCAACTGCTGCGCAAACCATCCTATAGTATCAAATCCTTATCGCACCCGCCAAGCACACCCTACCCAAATAGGATAAATCACGCCCGCCGCGCCCCACCCACCCGAATCTGGTCGCGCCGCAGCGCGTTCCACCGAACAAAGGGAAACCGTCGGCAACAATCAATACGCCGTTACTCGCCTGTCCTTACAGACAAACAAACAACACAAACCAGACAAGGCAAGGCGAGACGCTCATTGCGATGTAGACTGTCAATTCCACATCTACAGACAACTACACATCCCACCCCCCCACCCAAAAGAGAAAGAAAAGAAGAACCGAAGAAATGGCACCTGCCCGTAAACGCCGCGCGGTATGTCACTCACTCACTCACCCATACACCGCACCAAGCTCAAACCTAACATGTAACTGCATGCAAAGGTCCCCGACTCACCCAGCGAAGAAGACGATATCCCCACGCCCGCGACGCAACGACGCCGGGTAGCAGCGGCGCATAGCGAAGATGAAGATAACGACGACGACGACGATGCCGGTTCCGATGATGCGTACGATACGCGGGCGCCCAGTAGCACGGACGTGATGGTGAAGAAGATGGTGCGGTTAGCGCTAGCGAGCGAGTTCTCGCGACTGCCGATCCGACGATCGGATATTAGTGTTAAGGTGCTTGGGGAGCAGGGGACGAGGCAGTTCAAGACGGTGTTTGAGGAGGCGCAGAGGGTGTTGCAGGAGAAGTTTGGGATGGAGATGATGGAGTTGCCGGTTAAGGAGAAGGTTACGGTGCAGCAGAGGAGGGGTGAGTTTTTCTATTTATTATTCTTTCTGATGGGGGAGGGAGGGGGTTGCATGAAAGAGTTGTATTGGCTAAGAGCTAACTGGTGGATTTGATGTGAACAGCTGCGCAAAAGGTTGAAAAGCCTTCATCTACGAACAAGTCCTGGATAGTGACGACTACGTTACCGACGAAGTATCGGAAGCCTGAGATTTTGTTGCCTAGTAGGGCGCCGATGGAGAGTACATATACGGGGCTGTATAGTTTTATTATCGCGGTGATTATGCTTAATGGGGGCACGATTCATGAGCAGAAGCTCGAGAGGTATCTGAAGCGGACTAATACGGATGCGTGGACGCCTATTGATCGGACGGATCGGTTCTTGCAGCGGTTGTGCAAGGAGGGATATTTGGTGCGCAATCGCGATGTGGATGGTGGGGAGGAGGTCATTGAGTATATTCTTGGGCCTAGGGGGAAGATTGAGGTGGGGACGAAGGGGGTTGCGAGGTTGGTTCGGGAGGTTTATGGACAGTCTGAGGGCAGCGAGAGGGATGATGAGTTTGAGATCCGGCTGGCGCGGAGTCTTGGGCTTAAGCAGCCGGAACCGCGTGCCCAGGAAGAGCAGGCTGAGGAGGGTGGTGATGATGGAGAGGAGGACGGGAGGCAAAGGCAGAGGCGGGAGCAGCCTAGCCGCCGGGTCAATAGGCGGTTGCCTGAATCCGAGGCTGAGGAGGAGAGTGAGGATGAGGAGAGCGATGGTTGACCACCATGTCTTCTTTTTTTGTTTATGTGATGACTTGTCGTTTGTTGTATTGTTTGCTAGCTATATTCTGTCTGAATGATACCCGTTGATTATGGTTCTGACTTGCATAGATTGCTCACCTGGTATGGAAGAAGATCATAGTTGGTACCAGCCCAAAACACCACTGATAGTTTAATAAGAATTCATATTAGACCCGCGGACTGGCCGCATGCATCCGAACAGCCATCTATGCTTCGAATACAGGAGCAAAGTAATCATCAGTGGTATATCTATGATCAAAAAAGTCGCTATACACAGTTGTTGCCGTCTATTCGCTGTCACTGGCGCTGTCGTGAACCGATCCATTGTCCGCATCCTCCCTTAGCCCCTCCGCCATGATGTACTCTGCTTGCTGTAGCGTGGTCTTAATCTCCTGATTATTGTAGACAAGCTCAGCTGGTTTCTGACCGTGCTTGTTCCTGACACGCGGATCACAACCGGCTTCGCACATCATCTTGATCATTGCCTCGCCTAGTTCGGCGTCTTTCTCGTTCGCATAGCGCACGGCGGTATGCAGCGGGGTATCTTTGTCCAGACGGGTGAGGGGGTCGCATTCGAAGTACTGAATATCGAAGAGGGCATCCATGACGTCGTCTGCAATGCAATGTTATTAGATTAGCATGTATATAAGGCAGTGCTGACGCCAAGAGGATAGGGCTGTGGTCTCAATGGAGGGTGTTCACTTACAGCTACCGTACGTAGCACATATGTGAAGGGCATGGTTCCCCATCGAATCCGTCACACCGTTGAAGAATTCGGCCACTTCTTCATTCGACTTTCCTTCCATACGCTCCAGGACACTCTCTATCAAATGAGGCTGATCTCGACGGCAGGCCTCTACGACTAGTTCACGGGGTGAAGCGCCCTATGCAACCAATGATTGTTAGCAACGGAACCGGAGTGGGGGTACTGCAGCACTCACTTCGTCAGCCATGGTTGGTTGTTCTTGAGAAATGACAAGTGTAGGGTACGACAAGTAGCTGTATCTTGAATAGTCAAGGGTGGTTGCGCGGAGGGGTCAAACAAATGCCGCAAGTATGGGGCCGGGTTAGCCGCGAAGGTGGTAAAGGAGGCGGTGTCGGAAATGAGGACTGGGGATCAGCAATGCCTCAAAGCAACTGAAACAATCGACGTAGTGTTTCAGGGTAGTGAGTCAGTAGCCCTGAGCGTTGAGAAAAAACACAGAAAGCTTTGATCGATGTAGATTCCTTGCAGCTGCGTTTGGAAGTACTATCAGTGGGATACTGTCTCCTATTGTTGTTCCCCGCGGCCGAGCATACAGTACAGTAGTGGAATGGATGCATGACTCCCGCCGCGGACAAGCCATTCGGAAGGGAGGTTACTCCGGCCGGCCAGGCAGCCCCGCGTCCAATCGGCGGCGGTGAATCTCTCCGCCAACGAAATCGCCGGTCGATAAGAGCCTCAGCAGCTAGCCGGCGATTATCGTCCAGATCGCTGCGACCCTTACTTGCGCCGGACAGTGGCAGCTGCACCAGTCCCGTAACCGCCTTTATGAAGGCTATGCTATGCGAAAATTGTGCTACAAACTGACTGACTGATTGATCCCTTGATTGATTGACGGACTTTCACCCAGGAAGAAGCAAGCAACATTCACAATGCCGTTGACTTGTTAGTTTTCTCCTCTTGCAGCCTCTACATCTACAGTACTCGTTAACTAACCCTCACCTTTCTACTCCCCAGTCTGCCCTAACTGCAGCAATGCGCTCACGATCTCTCGTGCGGAACCGACCACAAGACATCCCCTAGGCGTCAATCGATTCGAATGCCGCACCTGCCCATACCAATATGCTCTGGACCAGAGCTGGTTTGAGAAGACACCCATGAAGCAGAAGGAAGTGGAAGATGTCTTTGGAGGCAAGGAAGAATTCGCAAATGCAGATAGCGTGGCCAGTAAGTCACAAGCCTGGAGGGGCACTCTTCCCTACGGTTGTTGGAATAAACTTAGGGGCTTGGGGCTAATGTTGTGCTTTCTCTTCCCTTTTTCCCTACCCGCAGCTCAATGCCCCGCAGAAGACTGTAATGGCGACCGCGCATACTTTTTCCAGCTGCAGATTCGGAGTGCAGACGAACCGATGACCACATTCCTAAAGGTGGGTGCGCACCAGCGGCTTATGCGGTTCTCATGCATCTGGCCTGACATGCCTTGCTGATTGCGGTTGACAGTGTACCACGTGTGGTGCCCGATGGAGAGAGAACTGAGGCTACTCCAGCATTAGAGTTTGGACTATGGAGATATCCCTGGAGAACAATATGTGTTGTTCGAATAATAGAGGGGCGGGGGATAACGTAGAGGAAGAACGGGAATTGTAGGAAAGGGAGAAAAGAAAAAAAAGGGAAGGCTGGTGCTACGGTGTATGATTAGGATGATGATCTGGGCCCCTGCGATTGTGGTTGTTCCCATTTGCGATGATTTACATCGAGATTACTAGAGATACCCCTCAATGGATGATGACACCAATCCATAGCAACTACTATACAAGAGTGGTTAAACTACACGCCTACTCCCTATTGGAGTGAGCTAAGAAAAGTATGTCAGATTAAGCGCAAAAGAAGAAATTTTCTTCCCGCCTCGTTGATCCAATCTATTATTTTTTTTTTTAGTATTTAATTTTTTTGAAACTATTTTTTCCCGAACCTATTTCCCCCTCCTACAGAATTTGCCGCCGCCAACAAAATCTACGTACTAACTATTCATGGTAACCTGGCAACGGCGGGCAAATAATGGCCCGATTGGGATTGGCCAGATCCAGGTAAGCTACCAAGTTAGTAGGAGTATAAGTGGTACTTCTTTGTAGAAAGGATCCTTTGTGTGTGTTGTTTCTGGTACGGTACCAAATCTTGAGTCATTTTTTTCTCACTTCTTTTTCTCTTATCCTCAAAACAGCCACTGTCGGGGTCCCAAAGAGGAAGGGGGTTGGTTAAGGATGGGAAAAGAAAAAAGAAGAACAAAAAAAGAAAAGAGAAAGGCTAGATACCTAACCGCACTGTCAGGTCAAGACACTAAGTGAGGGGCAGTGATGATGGCAAAAAATTGATGTGGGCAAGAAAAAAAAAAGATTTTCTCTCACATGTTTTGCCGCACCAGCCATCCCACTATCAGAAAGCGATGATGTTTGAGATTGTCGGGTGTCCACATCATTTTTTCGCTAGTAAGAATTTGAGATATTATTGAGCATCATCCCATGATAGCGAGTACAAGTCCCGAGTAAATACCAACATTGCTATACTCCCACTGCTGTTGCTGCTATCTAGTTTGCTACGTTGGTCGTTGACCTCACAGGGATTTCCACCAAAAAAGTGGACCGGGCGGGCGCCACTCGGCCGTGCCACAGCAGCCTGAGAGCGGACAAATAACAACAGCCGCTTGCCGCGGGGTTCGGTTGCAAACATGACCAAACAGGCCAGGCCATCATCAACCCACCGCTGCGTTGATGCCCAGGATTTCAGTCCAATAATCCACAATTTACCAACGGATAGAGCTAGATGAGTTAGTCCAGATAGATAGACAAGAGGACCGGAGGGAGGGGACCGAGAGAGAGAAAAATTTTCGATGAAAGAGTGGTCAAGGTGGGGTCGTAGTTCGGCGCTCCGAAGGCGAGGAACCAAGGAAAGGCGAGAAAAGGACAGGCTGATCGCGCAGTGTTGCTGGGCTGCAAGCGTGTCCAGTTGAGTCTGGAAAAGGCTCCGCCGTGAAGATTCTGCGTTGGTCCCGCACCTGCGTGGTGGGGGCATTACCCCTCCATGTCCAATGAATTCAACTCAAAGCCAAGGGTTGAAGCCCGCCCGCTTAGTCGCCTTCTCGCTTGACCCCTCCATATAAGTATTTCCCCTCCTCCCCCTCCCACAAATTTTTCCTTTCCCTTTCCTCCCTCGTCCGCTTCAGTACGTATATCTTCCCCTCCCATCTCTCTCTTCCATCCTGTCTCTTCTCTCTTTCTTCATTCATCCCTCTCTCTAACTGACTTTGTTGCTCAGCACCTCTACGCGTTCTGGCCGTAGTATCTGAGCAATTTTTCTACAGACTTTTTCTATCTAATTCCAAAAAAGAACTTCGAGTTCATTCACAACCGTCATCATGGGGTAGGTTCAGACAACAATCGATCATCGGAGGGAGAAAGGACATTGACTAACGGCTATCTTCTTCAACAGTAAGGAGGACAAGACTCACATCAACATCGTCGTTATCGGCCACGTCGATTCCGGCAAGTCCACCACCACTGGTCACCTGATCTACAAGTGCGGTGGTATCGACCAGCGTACCATCGAGAAGTTCGAGAAGGTAAGGAGGATCATACATCCGACAGGATTACATCAAGACACGGTACTAACAACATCCTACAGGAAGCCGCTGAGCTCGGTAAGGGTTCCTTCAAGTACGCTTGGGTTCTTGACAAGCTCAAGTCCGAGCGTGAGCGTGGTATCACCATCGACATTGCCCTCTGGAAGTTCCAGACTGGCAAGTATGAGGTCACCGTCATTGGTATGTACTCACAGAGTTCTCTCTTCATCAAATCAATATACTGACGTCCATCATAGACGCCCCCGGTCACCGTGACTTCATCAAGAACATGATCACTGGTACCTCCCAGGCTGACTGCGCTATCCTCATCATTGCCTCCGGTACTGGTGAGTTCGAGGCTGGTATCTCCAAGGATGGCCAGACTCGTGAGCACGCTCTGCTTGCTTTCACCCTCGGTGTCCGCCAGCTCATCGTTGCCCTCAACAAGATGGACACCTGCAAGTGGTCCGAGGACCGTTACAACGAAATCGTTAAGGAGACCTCCAACTTCATCAAGAAGGTCGGATACAACCCCAAGGGTGTTCCTTTCGTCCCCATCTCCGGTTTCAACGGTGACAACATGCTCGAGCCCTCCCCCAACTGCCCCTGGTACAAGGGTTGGGAGAAGGAGACCAAGGCCGGCAAGGTCACCGGTAAGACCCTCCTTGAGGCCATCGACGCCATCGAGCCCCCCGTCCGTCCCTCCAACAAGCCCCTCCGTCTTCCCCTCCAGGATGTCTACAAGATCTCCGGTATTGGAACTGTTCCCGTCGGTCGTGTCGAGACCGGTATCATTGCCCCTGGTATGGTCGTGACCTTCGCTCCCGCCAACGTCACCACTGAAGTCAAGTCCGTTGAGATGCACCACCAGCAGCTCAAGGAGGGTGTCCCCGGTGACAACGTTGGTTTCAACGTCAAGAACGTTTCCGTCAAGGAGGTTCGCCGTGGTAACGTTGCCGGTGACTCCAAGAACGACCCCCCTCTCGGCTGTGAGAGCTTCACCGCCCAGGTCATCGTCCTCAACCACCCCGGTCAGGTCGGCGCTGGTTACGCTCCCGTCCTGGACTGCCACACTGCTCACATTGCTTGCAAGTTCGCTGAGCTCCTTGAGAAGATTGACCGCCGTACCGGAAAGTCTGTTGAATCTGCCCCCAAGTTCATCAAGTCCGGTGACGCTGCCATCGTCAAGATGATTCCCTCCAAGCCCATGTGCGTTGAGGCTTTCACTGACTACCCCCCTCTTGGTCGTTTCGCCGTCCGCGACATGAGACAGACTGTTGCGGTAGGAGTCATCAAGGCTGTTGAGAAGAAGGAGGGTGGTTCTGGCAAGGTCACCAAGGCCGCCCAGAAGGCCGGTAAGAAATAAGCTGGTGCAGGGTGAAAATGGCATGATGAACCTTTGATGATCAAACAAAACAATGGAATTACGGAATTAGACTTTAAGTTTATGTAGTTGATCCTACAAAACTTGAATTACGACTCGTTTCGTTCATTTGGCTCGCATCGTAGGCAATTTGTAGAGTTTTCCGTTTTCGGCTTCATGAAGCTGAAGTAGTAAATATTTCTATATCGAGATCTTAGTAATCTGTCATCGGTAGTTGACTAATCATACTCTAACCAATCACAGTGCTTCTGATTCGACGTCCCCCGCAGTGTAGAACTTCGACAAACAAGCCATATTAACTCTCTTGATACATGTTTGAGATGTCCTCGCGACATGAGCTTACGTCAAGCCTCTGTTGCTTCTATAGTTACATTTTGCTCTATTTTATAGATGTTTGTGTTGTAACTACCAAGCTCCGACCTTATCATGCCGCAACTGCCCCTAAGAAGTCCACGCAACAGTCATCATCTAAACTGCTCTTGTCAGCGTCTCCGACATGCCAACCATGTATGTACTGTAGTTCAACGCAACCAATCCAGCTTCAATTCATCTTCACCGTCATCGTCGTCAGCCCTTGAATAGTTCTAAAGGGCATCAGTCGTTGATACCATCGATTTCACCGAACGCATCACGTCACTACAATAGGAAGTATTACTTCAACTTAGACGAGGCTATGAACTAGCCACCATCAATTGAGAATAATACCGTAATGTCGCTTGTTTTCTTGATTGATGGGTATTTCAGGTGACACATGTCGTCGCTGTCTGTACTTAAATCACATATTCTGCTTATATGCTGTGCTATTTCGAAGTAATCGAGGTCAAAATGGCTAAAAGAAAGACGAAGAAGACTGACTACGAAACAAGTAGCAGCCGTATGAACGCAAATCTGTCGCAGTGAATGGCTCCTAGGCGCTGATGAAGAATTTGATGATTGCTTTTTTGGATTATTCAAGATTTACTATCCACTATGGTGGTATCAATCGAATGATATGATCATGACCGGGGGTAAGTAGATGAGATCTCGAACAGGTTGCTTGCGTGTTTACGTGAAGGCAGGTGTGCTGGATGCTCTAGTTATACGTATGTGATGCTACAATGGTGGCTTGCTGAAAGAACAATATGCAACATTTTTTTTTAGATGTCGTGGAACGGGAGGACAACAAGCAATATAGTGAAAACTATGTGGCACTGATAGGAGTTATGTGATCAACAATGCTATTCTTGGTCACCTTAGCGATCAGCTTCTGGTGCCATTGTGATCTGGTGAATGCCATTATCGTCAGTGGGTGGATAGAAGGGAAGAAGAACTTTGATTTTCAGCCATCAAAGAATGGACCTGAGGTCGGAGTTTTAAGAGTTGATTGTCGAATAATATACCTACAAAGGTGATGAACAGCATGATTCAATATATACTGGATTGTGCAACTCTAAGATTGATTAAAGCGACAGCAAGGATTGCTACTCAAAGCATATGGCATGACTTTGAAACGGGAAATTGTTAACCACATCTAATATTGAAGGTGTAGCGAAACAACGGCCTCAACAAGTACATATAATTAGCGCACTGAAAAATTTGTAATATCGAGTAGAATCATTGCAGTCCCCATGTCTCTCGAGCAATACTACGTCGTTTAACTACAGCATCCACGCACTTCCGAAGGTCATCAAGCATCAAAGACAGCGGCGGAGGTGGCACTGGACGTAAAAGGAGCAAATCCATGTTTGCTCGGGTAGAATACTTACCTTGTGATAGATGCACTGGTTGAGCGTGGCTCTCAGAATTGGAAACAATGACTGACTTCATGTTAAAACTGTGGAGATCGATACCCATGCATCAGGATTACCTCTCTATGGACCCTCATTCTTCCCACCCCAGATGCGGCATCATACCCGTGGATCTTGACGAAGAATACACCCTTGCACTTGATATCATCCAGCCCCAATACGCTGAGTTTGACGAGTATGACCGCACGAATCTATTTAGAAATTCCACTAATTTGGATGCGGCGTCAACGGCGACGCTCGCACTCAGCGTTGGGTTCTGATGTCTACCAGTCATACCAATGGTCAAAGAGAAATATTGAATCTACTCCGCTTAGAATGGACGGCCCTCGGCCGATGGCTCTAGTACCCATCAAAATAACAATAAGAAATGCGGTTCGCCCTGGCAGAGACTGAACCTTTCAGAGGCCGCGGAGCTTACCGACTTAAAAGCCATTCGTGAGATGGTGCGAGGTATACCGGAACCATCGACAACTGACAGCCATGATTAATCTCGAATTACAGGACAATAAGACGGCATGCCAGATGACTTCTAATGTGGCGTCGGACGATTCCAATTTGCAGTCGGATAACCCCAAAGTGATGTCAGATGATGACGAGGTAATCGGGCTTTTAAGACGGAACCAGACCTCCCCATTCAGCGCAGACTTCCTCTATCTCCATCTCCAGCCTTCATTCATCAGGCCACTACCTAAGCTACCATCACTATCAAAACTGCATATTAAATGCCTAACGGCGTATCCACGCCTGACCTCTCCATGGATGCAGTTGCTACGGATCGGAAGAAGAAAGCGATTGCCTAGAAGATGGAGCCTCAAACTATTATAACTACTATATAAATATTTCCTACTAGAGAAGCATCCATTCCTGTTGGTACATCATCGCACCCATACCCGACCTCTCCGGTGAGTGCAGCTTATAAGGGTCCAAATAAAATTTTGCTCTTCTAGAGGCGGAAACCCCTCGCTTGGAAGACGAATCCTTGAACTGTGATATAAGTATCTAGTGGACCAATAGTTATTCACTCTTACAATTTCCTACCACAGCTTATATTTTCGGAACAATCAAGCTTATCTGTTTCTGAAGGAGAAACTTGCACTTTGAAGACAAAACCGCTCCTCTAGACGACAAAGTCGCAAATCTCGACACATAAGTCTTGGAACAACAGCCATCACCTTTCCTTCAACATTATATCCATGCCAGACCTCTCAGACGAACGCAATTTCAACGGGTTCGAAGGAGGAACTGATCTTCTAATCGACAGACACTCAATTTCTGACAACAATGATCACCGGGCCAAGATATACCTACACTCCTATAGCGTTGTCGGTTATACAGGGAAAAGGGGATTGCGCTTTGTACTTCTCTACCTTCAGCCTCATTCAACCAGGTCTTCCAATTCAATCTCTCTGTCCCATGTCTATTTCTCCCATGCCCATATTCAACTACGACACGGAGAACTACTGGGCGGATATCCATCCCAATGCATACAACACCATAAGGCAAAACGTACTCACAGCCCGACAAGCCAAGCCCTCATATCCTCTCCAGTGAAGAGGATCCGACCTCACCTCCACCTTGAGTGGTGCGACTTAAGTGGAAAAGGCTTATAGGGGCTGTGCGTCCTGAGCTGTTGGCTGAAATGTTTTGTCTATTACCAGATGGACAAGCGCACTAGGAGCGGGTTCTGACATCCAGGACCTGTATGAGTGGCATAAGAAGCACCCCATCCAGTGGACATCTCAACTTCAGATCTATCAAGCGAACCACCATCAACTCCAATCCCATCACACGATGCATCTAACAGGCTACTGGATCTACGCTATTAGCTATAGTTACTAGATGCCACAGGCTGACGTCAAAAAGCTCAATGCAGACGCTACCACAGAAAATAAGGAAAAAATCTGTCAGATCAAGGCTGAGCATAATAAAAAGCCCAGGGAGTCAAAGTCCCAGGCAGCGTTGGCGCGACAGATTACAAAGCATCGCAGAGATCTGGAGAAGTCTGGAGAAGATGTTCTCTAATTGACTAGGCAGACTAATGTTGTGTTGGGGAAGCGGATGCTGTTCGTCACGCTAGATTGTGTCGATGAGGTCTGGAGTCTTGTGGCGGAGGACGCGTGAGGCAATTTGTGAGAGCTATAGCCATGATATGATCAGCGGATAGAGGCTCTGTAGACAACTTTGTGAACGATGGAAGAAGAAAGCATTGTTTGTGGGGGGGGGGGGGGGGGGGGGGTGAAGGATATGCGCCATTGACTCGGATTACAAATGTAGTAAGATCAAATATAATCAGATATAAAACTAAGAAGTACAAGTTACGGTAGAAGGGATTCGCTGATGGTCACCCACCCAACTACTAACCTCCCGGCGTGTCAGTGTTGCTTAAGTACAGCTGAGCGGACGGAGCCCTGTTCTCCACACCTTGTGGTCGTATATACTTGTATAGCTCCTAAGAAGGTATAGCAGGGGCTTGAACCGAAAGAATGAACAATCTAACAATGTACGAAAGTTGCGGTGCTTGTGAGGCCCAGCCTCCCATGCCTTTCTCGGGTGATATTCTCACGCGATCTATTCTGCTTCCGCCACATTCGACAGCAACAGCCTGAACCTGTCGGAGATTGCCAAAAAGATAGGGAAATAAAACTGAGAAAGGTGTAGAAGGGGTTAGTGTCCAACCTAGAAGATGATGGAATCGAACAGGGGCTAGCCTGATACACGAGTGCTAATACAATTACATCGAAGCCCTCACCGTAGATCAAGTTTCTGTCCTTCGGGTTTATAAGGTTCTTATAATGAATACATAACCCTTCCACCCCCCCCCCCCCCCTCTCCCCGGGTGGCATATGACATCCCAGTAGTCTGAAATACTCAATAGCCAGTGACTTGTGTGCCGTACTCCAACTAGCCTTCCTATTTTCGCGTGGGATATGGATAGTCTTTTTGTGCAATCTGTGGTTTTGCTTTTTCTTTGCCTGGAGCATGTGATATAGAGGAAAGAGAGTTGGGTGTCCAATGTCAATCTTACCAATCCTTTTTAGCATTAATATTTACAGGCTACTAACGACTGACCTTGTCATTCAGACAAATCTACAGCCTTTTCGTCAATCCCTACTTGTTGGTGTAATTCACGGCCCTTCTTATATCAAAAGGATCGTATAGTCCACCCATGAAGCTTACAGCGCCTATCTAGCCCCCACCCATTCCCGTGTCTCAATAAATAGGGATATAGAGAAGGGTAAACATTCTGATAAAAACGAATCTTCGATCACAGCACCGCTATCATCAACACTTGGGGATCTCAGTCCCCTGTGCACCAGGCGCTTTCGGCTAGAGCGTCAGGCGTTTGAATCTATCAAGCAGAGGCTCAATCTTATCTAGTAGAAGCAAGAAAAGGAATCAAACCGTATTACATTCAGTCTGTAGGAAGATGATCCTGATCTAATCACATGCGATCTGAAGACGTAGGAGTAGAGCGCCTACCTTCCCTTTTAGGAAGGTGCCTAAATCCCACTGTGTACCAATACGGCTCCCTGTATGACCACTCCATGAAAACAACCATTTTAAGGATCAAAATATAATGTTTCGTTCCCACTGCACTCTCCGACAGCATCCACGCAGTTTCTACACTTTCAGTAACAATCTCAGCATCATTTTTGTACCCAGATTCTCCATAAGCCTTCTTACTACCCCGAAACCACCGACTTGTTGATAATGTGCAGTCCAACTAGCAAGGCCTCTCTCACTACGGATGCACCACTACCATTATCACCATCGCCATCAGATGGATTTGAGCCGATGCCTTTTTACTGCTTGCCACTGTTCGTCCGATGGCAGTTTCTTGGAACGGCACCCGATACCTTCGTTGAGCTCATAGCGCTCAACCTCGGCAATCGCCAGAGCAAGCTCCGCCTCCTTTACCTTCTCCGGGTCACCCTTGGCTTGCTTTAGTTTGGCTTTAGCTCTTAGGATGCGGGACTCCAGCTTGGACTTCTCTTTGTGAAAAGGATCGACTGCCCTTTGGAGGGCTCTTCTCTCGTTTCGACGCCTGTTCTTCCGCAGTATCTTCCGCTTTTTCGGTGGATTAAGGGCCCTTTTCTTAGCTCTTCGCTCCCGCGCTGTGAAAGCTCGGCGTTCTCGCCTCTCTGCCTTTTTCTCCTCGGGAAGCGCATCGTACAACTTCTTGTCGATACCCGGATTTTCTCTGCGTCTCCTCTGTTGATATTCCCTGCTTTTTGATCTCCGTGCGATATTCTGGGCCTTTGTTCTCTTGGCTTTTTCAGGGTTCTCCTGTCGCCACTTTCGCATGGCGTCTCTAGTGTATTCTTGGAAGCGCTTCACTTGTTCCGGTGACATTCTGGCCCTCCACTTTTGGTGATAGAGCCGTTGTCTCTCGGCAGCAGCCAGCCGCTTGGCTTTTGCCACTGAGCTCTCCACTTTCGTGGCCTGCTTCGTAACAGGATGGAAATCATCTTCCGAGAAATTGTACTCCCAAGTGCAGTCATCTTGGTTGTCCACCGCGTTCGACTCGCTGGTTGAGGCAAGGGCATAACCGTCTTTACTTTCACTATCGGCGGTCAACCCATCATCGGTCAACCCATCATCGGTTATCTCGCTGTCGTTGGTCATCTCGCTATCGTCTGTCATCTCGCTATCGTCGGTTATCTCATCCGCTCTCGACTCATCCGCGGCTGTTGATTCGTCCGCGATTGTCACTTCGCCTTTGTGGGGGCTGAGATGAAGATCGATATTGTACATTGTTCGGTTTCTCTTAATGCAAAATGATTTCTTTGACTGCACTTCAGGGTCGCAGTGGGGTCGATGCGACTCTAGCATGCACGAGTGCGTGCATGCCCCTAACCAACTGAAGACCTCATTAGGATCTCCATACACGCATGCATCCTGTAGGTGCCTGGGGCATTTCGGTGCGTAGCCCCCCAATATTGAACAGTATATTGCTTCTGCGAGCAGGCATATCGGTCGTACAAAATTGACGAGGTCTGCATCTGGGTCATCGCCCCATGGCATAATGAAGAGTGTAGCGAACCTGCAAGTCCTGGGAACAAGTTTCTGATGCAAGACTTGGTACTGAAACGAATTTTTCCTATTTGGTAAGACATAATTGTCAGATGCAAGCATCAATCACTGCTCCGCTGGCGTAGGCTTACATTGACGTGGTGGGTTTGGTTTCATGGTTCCTTTTTCGTCCTCTGAGCCCTCTGTTGTATTTCCCGGTTGCTGAGCCTACATACAACCAATGCGGCTTGTCTTCGGCATTTACTATCTTGTCCTGGTAGATGATCTTCAAGTAAGCACCGGGTTGGTCGGTGTCCGTCCAATTTAGCGTCATAAGGTCACGTAATGTTGGCGGAGATTCGCTGTTAAGAAGGTCCTTGAAAGTGGAGATGGTGTAAGTGTTCATCAGTTGAACAATCTGGCTATCCTCGAATGCCGCTAATGTGTCATGCCAAGGCTCTGCTTTAGGGAGCCTTCGGATCTCCTTGACTGTTAGCTCAACTCGGGCCTGGAAGTTGGGATATTCATCAAAGCCGAAGTTTTCCAGGGCATTCGCGTTTGGCATCTGGAATTTGCGGCTTCCAAAACCGTAACTTTCGAGAGTTCTATTCATTGTTGGATGAATTGGCGGAAAGGGATACTAGAGTATTACTGGAAGAGCGAAGGATGGTTTGTATGAGGAGGATTGAGATATGGCCATCCTGGAGGGGAAAGCGCCCAGCTATTTAAGGCCCCAGAACCTTTTGTGTTGGTGAAAGCCTCCAAACGGCTGTTACCGGCCTATAAATCGTCCAAGTGGATAGGAATCTGGCCTTCCTGGATGGAAAAGTCCGCAACCGCCCCAGGATTTAGACGGTGTATGGGGACATATCTAAATGGGCGTTACCAGCCTGTGAATGAGGCATGAGACCACGGGATGCTCCGAAAATGAATATCCGTATTGAAACTAAAAGGAAAAAAAGCCTTGCCGGTCTCAATCGAGCTCGACATTTATAGCTTAGGCACAGGTACTAGCCTTGCTGATGATGTCGAGCTATGGAGGAGGGCTTGCTGTTGCTGTTTGATTACTCTAGCCCGTAGGACCATTATTTCATAATATCCCGACTGCCAACTCATACGCTCGCTGATGTCTTGTCAAATTGCATATAATATCATTTTGCCAGCAATTTGACACATCTAATGTGTAGTCGTATACGACACATATCTAGTGAGTTGTTGTCTGAGCGAGCAGGCCGATCAGCATCCACTCATGCCATGTACGCCTCCATCAGCCGTATATTTACATGACCCTGTTCCAGCTGTAGTGGCATTCTTCCCTGGATACAGCACCACATTGTCATAGTCGATATTATAGCACGGATGTACCTCTGAGCACGAGACCGTCGAGACCACTGACTTCTCAGTATCCACCCATCCCGTGAAATTGACAAACGCAACATTGGAAATTGACATCTTGCTTGTGCCCGCATAGGAACCATTGTCTCCACTGTCCTGGCTAATGGAAGGACCAGCACTTGCTCCCTGTACATTAAAGTTTGAGAATAGTACGTTACGGATGCTGCCCCAGCCGTCGCCACGAGGCACACCAGCGCTTTCGTAGGAACTTTGGGGGACGAGAGCTCCGACCCAGGTTTTCAGGTAGGCGCTGTTGTGCATGTCTTCGTTGTATCGGATGATCTGATCACCGTTAGTACTACTGATGATGGTGGCCGGGAAAACCGCACGTACATTGACCTTGTCCACGCGAATGTTAGCTACGCTGCTATCTTCCAAGTATTGACCCAGGCTGCCGATCGCGATGCCGTTGCCCCCACGACAGGTGACATTCTGGACGTCGATGTTGTAGGAGCGGGGCTTGATAGCGATACAGTCGTCTCCGCCTTGGTAAACAAAGTTGGTGAGCTGAATATTGACAGCATCCATAGTATCTGAAAACAAGACACGAGTCAGTCCTAGTACAAGTCACTGATAAGAATGGAAAAAACATACCAAAACCATCCGTATTCTGCACCCAATTGTCACCCCACGGGGCATCCACGGCCGTGGCATTGCAGTAGATGTTGTTGAAGCGCATATTGGTCCCGTTCATGATGTTGATACTCCATAGAGGCGGATCCTTGACGTAGAAGCTGTCAACAATCACTTCAGACACGTTCCAGAAGACAAACGGCATCGGACGCCCCGGCTGCGTGTCGCCCTTCTCGGCCGTGTACCAAGTATTTCCATTGCCGTCAATTCCACCGGTGCCATAGCCATTGATGGTGATGTTGTCGCCGCTAATAATGAAGCCAGCATGGTGGTTTTGGAACGCAACTGGGTAGGAGTTGTTACGCCAGTATGTGAGATTGTCGGAAAACTGGACGTAATCAGTATTTCACAGGTCACGAGATGGATGGTGAGGGAGATTTACTGTCCACTTTCCCCGCCATTCGATTGCCACATCCTTCAATGTTGGATGCAATCTCGTCGCAATCCAGTACGATTGATCTTCGGGAAAAATGATGGTACCTCCATTGCCACACTCTTTGAACGCCGCCATAATATTGGGGACGTCGTCTTGATGGCCCCCGTTTGCTCGCACGGTGCAGACATTGTGGTTGTTTTCCACATTGCCTGCATGGCCAACAGAGGCCAGCCCCAGGAGAAAGAGCGAAACCGAAGCTGTTAGCTGCATTATGGACGCGGGTGATGCGCGCTGTAAGTGTTTGGGAGCATTGGTTCCTTTATTGTATGCTGACCGGGGCTTCCATTAGAGGTGATGGACGATCAGACCAGACTTCGGTGCTACTTCTACCGAACTACAAACCTCACTAATATCATCAATTTCCCTGTGCGGAGAAAACCCGGGGAGAACTTCATGCACTGGCCTTCGAATGACGCCTTTATGCACGATCGACGGGCTCTCTGTAGGAAATTCCACCAATGACGCCGGCAATCCCACTAACCTACTGCTGCACAGCCAACCAACGCCGCCCCCCTGAACGTGTGAGAAAGCTTGCCTGTTCGCTTATATTTAATTGATCTCAATCTGCCATTCAGCCGAGACTGACCTGATTCATTTACCCCAGACTGCCCGTTAAGCCAATCGATCCGTCCCGCGCCAGCGATATTAATCCTTCGAAGCTAGCGACCCCTCTTCGCTTTCTGGGCAAAAGCCCGGGGGAACATTATCTCGAGCCGAGACGTTTATATGAACCCGTGTGTCTGGTGGAGAATGGATATTGCTCTGCGTGGTAATTGGTGCTGCAGTCTGCGGAACAGACAAGACAGCAGACCATGCGCTGCCACAGGCTCTTGTCGGGCGTGCTCGCTCTACTTCCTCTCTCAGTTGCTCAAAGCTGTTGGCGCAACACCACTTGCTCTGGTCCGACCGACAGCGCTTTCTCCGGGCCGTGGGAGAAGAATATTTTCGCACCATCGTCGAGAACTCTGAACCCAGAGAAGCTCTTCCTCATTACGCAACCGGATAAGACGGAAGACTATACCCCATTTGCACTTCATGGAAATGGGTCATTGGTGGTCTATGACTTTGGAAAAGAGGTTGGCGGCATTGTTTCTGTAAACTTCAGCTCCACAGGCAGTGGTACACTAGGAGTGGCCTTCACCGAAGCGAAGAACTATATTGGAGAGTGGTCGGACTCGTCAAATGGAGGCTTCAAAGGCCCTGATGGTGCCCTCTATGGTAATTTCACCGAAGCCGGAAGCCACTACTATGTGATGCCGGATAAGAGCTTGCGGGGTGGATTTCGCTATCTGACTCTTTTCCTGATCACCAGCGACAACTCCACCATTCACATCGAAGATGTGAGCTTGGAGATCGGCTTTCAGCCTACGTGGTCCAATTTGAAGGCCTACCAAGGGTACTTCCACTCCAATGACGACTTGCTCAACAAGATCTGGTACACTGGTGCCTACACTCTGCAGACGAACGAGGTGCCGACCGACACGGGGCGTCAGATCCCAGCGATGGCTGAAGGCTGGGCGAACAATTGCACCCTTGGACCTGGTAATACGATCATTGTCGACGGAGCGAAGCGTGACCGTGCGGTATGGCCGGGTGACATGGGGATCGCTGTTCCTTCGGCGTTTGTGAGTTTGGGCGACTTGGACAGTGTCAAGAATGCGCTGCAGGTTATGTACGACACTCAGGTAACATCACACCATTGCGATTGTGCTATATCTCAGATACTGACGCTATGCAGAACAACTCGACAGGTGCATTCGACGAGTCTGGCCCGCCGCTGAGCCAAAAAGACTCGGACACGTACCACATGTGGACGATGGTCGGGACCTACAACTACATGCTCTATACCAACGACAGCGATTTCCTCGAGCAAAACTGGGAGGGTTATCAGAAGGCGATGGATTATATCTACGGCAAGGTGACTTATCCCAGCGGCTTGCTGAACGTCACGGGCACGCGCGACTGGGCCAGATGGCAGCAGGGATACAACAACTCCGAGGCGCAGATGATGTGAGCGATGCCCTAATCATTGCACTCATTACCTTCTAACAGTCCCAGCTTGTATCACACCCTCAACACAGGCGCAGAGCTCGCCACTTGGGCCGGAAATTCAGGCGACCTGTCCAGCACCTGGACTAGCCGAGCCGAGAAGCTGCGTCAAGCCATCAACGAATACTGCTGGGACGAATCGTACGGCGCATTCAAAGACAACGCCACCGACACCACCCTGCACCCTCAGGACGCAAACAGCATGGCCCTGCTCTTCGGGGTCGTGGATGCGGACCGGGCCGCCAGCATTTCTGAAAGACTAACAGACAACTGGACCCCGATTGGAGCCGTGGCGCCCGAACTGCCAGAGAACATCTCTCCATTCATCTCCTCGTTCGAGATCCAGGGCCATCTGACCGTGGGACAGCCACAACGAGCACTGGAGCTAATCCGCCGCAGCTGGGGATGGTACTACAACAACGCGAACGGCACACAGAGCACGGTCATCGAAGGCTATCTACAGAACGGCACGTTCGGGTACCGCGGTAACCGCGGGTACTACTATGACACCGCATATGTGTCACACTCGCACGGCTGGTCGTCAGGACCGACGTCGGCGCTGACGAACTACATCGTGGGGATCACTGTCACATCTCCACTGGGGGCGACGTGGCGCATTGCCCCGCAGTTTGTCGATCTGCAGTCCGCCGAGGGTGGGTTCACGACCTCGCTTGGAAAGTTCCAGGCTGGATGGTCAAAGACAGACAAGGGATACACGCTCGACTTTTCAGTTCCGCACGGGACCCAGGGAAATCTTACGCTGCCGTTCGTCGGCACGGCGAAGCCATCTATCAAAATCGACGGGACGGAGATTACCCGGGGGGTAGAGTATGCCAACGCGACGGCGACAGTGACGGTCAGCGGAGGCGGAACGTACAAGGTGGTGGTGCAGTAGCAGTAGCAGTAGCAGTAACTACATTATCATCACACAGTACTTATACTAGGATATTAAATAGCATAGTAACCTTCAATCCACTTCAATGCCCACCAAATGCTATACTACCTCACCCGTCCAATCAGGGCACCTCTAATCACGTGTCAATAATCATCCGATCCGCTCACTTCCACCGCATCCCCATACTCCAGACAACATCCATCTCCAACCCAACCAAGTCAACCAACACAACATACACAAACAAGATGCCACCGATACCCCCTTCCCTTCGCGCCGCCCGCGCTCAATGGCGCACCTGTGCCCAAAACCTCCACGCCTCCACCAACCCCAAAACTCGCCTCTACAGCACAACCCGCACCCTCCGCTCCACCACCAGCACCACAGCCAGCAACCCCCTCCGCAGCGCCGCCCGCGCGCCCCGCAGCCGCGAACAAGACCTCGCACGGAGCAAACGCTCAATGTACATCTCAGCGACAGGGATGATCGTATGCGCCATCGGAATGTACGGGGTGATTAAAGCGGACGTATTCGGTCTGGAACAAACCACCACCACCACCACTACCACCGACGGAGTCGAAGTCGAGAACACCACCACCACAAGCGGCAGCACCAAACTCGACGGCCCCAGCACGGGCTTTCCCACAAAGCCCACGCTAACGCACATCCAATCCTCCAGCGGAAACCCCGACCAAGTGGAGACAGGAACGAGCTCGATCCCGCATTTCCCGGCGGTGATTCATCTGCCGAAGTGGTTGGAGAGTGAGGATAATACTCCTGCGTCTGCGACGGATTTGCCTGTACAGAGTAATGGAAAGGAGAGTGATGGGGAGGAATACCATCTCCTAGGACTGGGTATTCGGACGGTCTCGTTCCTGAATTTCCAGGTGTACGTTGTGGGATTGTATGTTGCGAAGGAGGACTTGGCGGAGCTGCAATCACGACTGGTGCGCACGGCGGTGCATCCTCCGGGAGAGGGGACGGAGTCGGTGATTGATAATGAGGTGGGGGCTACGGCTGCGACGTCGTTGGTGTCGATGGAGAGGGAGAAGTTGAGGGAGTTGTTGTTGGATGCGGAGAAGGGGGAGCAGGCGTGGGATATGCTGTTGAAGAAGGATGGGTTGAGGACGGCGTTTCGGGTCGTGCCGACGCGGAATACGGATTTCTTGCATTTGAGGGATGGGTGGGTGAGGGGGATTACGGGTAGGGCACAGAGGTATAATAAGGTTGAGGGTGGTGGTAAGGGGGAGTTTGAGGGCGAGGAGTTTGGTCAGGCTATGGGGGAGTTTAAGGGCCTTTTTGGGGGTGGGCAGAGGAAGAGTGTGCCTAAGGGACAGGTGTTGGTGTTGGCGAGGGGCAAGAAGGGCCAGTTGGATGTGTTGGTTCAGGGTGGTGGTGATGGGAAGGATACGCTGCCGGATAGGTATTTGGGTAGGGTCAAGGATGAGAGGGTTAGTCGGTTGGTGTGGTTGAATTATTTGGCGGGGAAGAATGTCTCGAGTGAGGGGGCGAGACGCAGTGTGGTGGATGGGATTATGGGCGTCGTAGAGAGGCCGGTTGGGACTGTATAATCCGTCACTCTCCCCTCTTCCCCTGTCCAAGTCTACTCCTTTCCTGTTTCTGGTGTTTGAGTATGTAGTGTATGTATGTATTATATATGATCTGATCTGATAGCAGCAATCAATTATCTATCATTACTCCCCTATCACTGCTTCGCAGATATATCATATAAAACAAGATATCTACAAAGCTCCAGCAGCCTCCAACAACCCCTTCAGCTCGGCACCCTTCTTGCTCTGCAAGTCCGAGTTTCCACCAATGTGCTTCTGGTTAATGTAGATGTTGGGGACGGTGCGCTGGTTGGAGATTTCCTGGAGGGCGTCCTGGAGGTCGGCTCCGTCGGCTAGAACGCAAAATATATATTAGCATAGCCCCTAAACCAAAGCAGAAGGGGATTGGGGGCGTCTTACGCAGCTGATCCAACTCAAGAGCAGTGTACTTCGCGCCGAGCTCATTCAGCAAGTTCTTGCTTGCTTGGCAGTAGGGGCAGTAGGATTTGGAGAAGACGACTGTGCCATTCCCAATGGGATTTATATTAGCAAATTGGTTTCTCCACACAACGTTACACTAATACATCATGTATGACACAACATAATAGCATATCAATGCTGGGATGGGGGGTTACCTACCAACGCCATTCTCATTAATCAAGGTCTGGGCCTTAGTCTTAGCAGCGGCGGACATGGTGGGAGAAGGAGCGGCAAAAGAGCCGAAGAGACGGGTGAAGATGGAGGAAATGGTGGCGGTATTGACTGGTAGCTAATCTAAAAAGAAGAGAAGAGGAGAGGAGGGAGGGAGGGGGAAGTGGGGTTATTTATAAGATTGGGTGGAATGGGTTTAATCAAGGTTTCAGCGGGATGATGGAATCGATCAGATAGGATGGAATAAATTAATGAATGAATGGATGAATGATGGAATGAGGAGAGCGGATGGTCGGATTACGCAAGGTGCGCTAGGGTGATTATGTAATGAGGGGGTGCTCGGGGGGATGGCTTATTAATGACGGATTAGATGGGGGGTTCTAGATCGGTCACTTTAACTATGTATATGTTGTTGTATACTAGTTGCAATAAATATTTAATATAATTGTGAACTTTGTCTATAACGATATGCACAAAGAAAATCAATGCATGTTCAAGGAAAGACGCGTGATGTCGTAATGACCGCTCAATGCAGGTGCACAAACACTGGAATCAACAGATAGGGAATCAAATGAGAGTAAAACGTCTCCAAGGAACGACAAGAAGTAAAAGGTGGATAGCTATTAAAATCCTAGTCAGATCAAACACCACCCAGCTCGCTGAAAAACAAATCCACAATGCAGGAAATAGGTATCTTAAATGACGGACATATGCCACTCAAAACGAATGCGTCCTCCCCCTACATCACAATGCAGCATCCGCAGCCCTTCTCCTTCGGCGGCGGTTCCTGCGCAGTCACCACTGGCGGGTTCCATTTTGGCTGCAGCGCCGCCTGTGGTGGTTCATGTACCCGCGGCATCGTGCTGTAGCCCGTGCCTGAGTTCGGCCGTCCCGACTCCTTAGACGGTGTCTCCAAGTTCGGGGTCTTCTGCTCTTGCACTTCTTCTTTCTCCACCTGTTCGTTCTGTTCGATCGGCTCCGGCTCCGGCTCCTCTTCCTTGGGTGCCGGCTTCTCAGAGGGCTTTGGCCCGTCCGGCCCGATGGCTAGCGGAGCAAACTCCCGATCATACGTGGTAGGCGTCTTGCCTTCCTTCTCCCACTGCTCCTGCTGCATGCGTCGTGCATGTGTGGGAAGAATCTGCTGGTCAGGCGGAAGACGTGGATCGGGCTTGTACATCGTCGCCAACCACGGAGGGTCGCCTTCCGGCCGGTTAATGGGACGATTCTCAGCGGCTTTAGTGGCCCGCAACGTGCTCGACGGTGCCCGGCTTCTCGGGGTCGCCTTTCGTGTAGTCGACGGAGGAGCCGACGTCTTGCGATTGGTAGCACCACCCTTGGTGGTCTTCCTACCGGCCGCATTTTGTAGAGTGTTCCCGCGACTGCCAGGCCGACTTCCTGCCGGAGTAATGTTCTGGGCAGAGTCCACCGACATCGGCTCACTAGCCCGACGGGGCATCCCGAAGGACAAAGCATCGTCATCCCCGTGGGTATTCGCGCGGCTGCGCTGCTTGGAGAATTCTCGTCCGCCGTTCTCGGGATTGGGAGAGACCGGTACTGGGATACCCGAGGGAATGGGGATCCGTGAAGAGCTTTTGCGAAATCCGGGGTTGCGGTAGAAGCCGGCCGCCCCATTGGCCATGCTCTCTTCCTGTCGACGAGAATCCCACCTTCCACGCTCTTCACCTTCTTCTGGGAAGGTTGGAGACCCGCTATGTTCCCGGAGCTGGGAATCGCCGTGCAAACTGGGCCAGGGTTCCAGTTGCTCGGTCGGTGGGGAGCTGGCAGGTGTTCCATACGAGTCGTAGTTCTTTGTGCGCGTCTTGTTGCCCTCACCCGCCCGACGTTGTAGCAGAATGGCGGCCTGCTGCAGCTCCTCACTCTCAATCTTGGCCAGCTTGTCGCGATGGATCCAATTGTCCTGGTCGATCTCGTCCGTATACATGCCCATTCCCTCGTGCCACTCGCCATGCCTCACCGACCCCTTTCGATAAAGAGAATCCGTCGAGTCTTTGACGTTGCCGGCGCTACGACTGGCTACATCGTGTCCATAGATTGAGCGTGAGCTGCCTGCTTCACTTCCGCGTCGGCTGTGGCTAGCTTGTGGGCGGCCCCGGGAGGTCAAGTGCTCGTGAGCATAGGCGTGACGCGATAGCGAGGAGCTGCGAGAGCCCTTGGAATTACGCTCCCTGGACCTGGCGTGTGAATCGTGGGAGGACCGTGATTTTGAGCGATGCTTAGTACTCTACCGAAACCCAGGTTAGCATGCCAGTCCGGCTTTTGGCCCGCGAAAGGCCCGAACGATCGGCGCGATTGCCTCAGAGCACCGCAGAAAGGTATGTCGGGAGTGTGACACACTTACATCCTGTCGAATCGGGACAGCGTACTCCCACTGACCCCCATCTACGCTGGGTGACGTCCAAACATCTGTCGTGTAAGTCGCGGTAGCTGTCCCCGCCATTCCAACAGCAATTATTAAGATTCAGTCAAGGCCAGGCCAGCTGGAGCCCGTGGTGCGGCGAAGGTGCGTGCAGGATGATTAAAGAGAGTCTGATCACTAGGTGAATAATTTTTTGGCCCTTCCCGTCTTGTTCCCCGATCAGGCCATCCCAGTAGCGCACAGACCAGAAACAGCAATCGTGCTGGACCGTTTGTCTCGAAGACCCCTAAGCCGAGACTCCAACAAGTGTATGTATGATGTGAGGGGTAGGTGGTTGGGAGATGGAGGGCACGAGTCGGTGGGAAAGGGGGGAAGAAGCGGAACACGAGAGATGCTCCGAAAGGAGGAAATCGTAAATAGCCAGGGAAGTGGAGAAGCCGGAGCCTTAAAATTGCAGCGCTATATGTAATTCCCGGGGGGGTGGAAGAGGAAGTCAGGGACCGGCGGGATGGGTACCGTGGACGTAACTCCGGGCTGGGCACTATTATAGGCCGACGGCGGTTGACAGACGGCTAGCAGTGTCGGGATCCGAGAATTAGGACCGGTCGCGGGTTTTGGAAGAAAATGGAATGGTGTCGAGGTAGATGAATTAGGGGGGAAGTAAAATGGATAGGAAAGAAGATGGATGAGCTTCGATGAGGGGCAGAGAAGAGTCAAGAGTCAAACGACTGGGAGGAGGAGAAGAGGAAGAAAGAGAAGAGGCGGAGAAGGAAGAAGAGGAGGAGGGGAAGGAAGAAGCCCAAGGAAAAGGAGTGGTTGCAAAGAGATGTGGCTGGACCCGTGGCGCCAAAACTGATTCGTTGACACTTCGGGGGAAGCTGATTAAAGAAAACCTCAATAGAGATAGTAAGTAGGTATAAGATGAGGAAGAAAAGAATAGAGGAAGTGCACTGTCCAAGGGTCCCAACCCAGAAGAAGCCGAATGGAAGGGAAGAAGAAGGGCTAAAAGATGAGAGGGGAGCAGAAGAGGAGAAACGGGAGGGAGAGAGAAAGAGAATAATGTCGAGAACCAAGACAGAGAGGCAGAACAGAGAGAGAGACACGGGGGGAAAAAAGTCCCAATCTCCTTCAGGATTAGCTTCCCGGTGACTATCAGACAAGCCTAGAACTGGTCTGGCCAATCACTCCGACCATCGCCGACTAGAAAAAGAAAAGAACAATTCCCAGCAATTGCCTCGAGAACTAAATTGTGTTAAACTAAACCCCAAAAGGAGTACATCTCACTGTCGATCCATCGTTACCCAAATGACTGGCACCGAAAACTGTTCTTTTTTTTCTGTCTTCCCCGTCAACGTCCATGTGCAGTCTATCTACAGTATGTCTGTACTTTTCGCCAAACCCTGCAGCTAAGCCCTCACATTGCTTCCATCTTATTTCGTACATACTATAAATATTTCTTTTTCTTATAAACTGAGGGAATTCAGTATATTGAGATTAACGGTCTGCCTATTGTTTGCCTGTCTGCCTTGAAGCACCGAGTACATGGTTAGATACAAATATGCAATTTCCCCAGTGACGGGTCGATATGACATCGAGAACGCCAACCGAGGCTAAGGGGGAAGGACTTAATTAAATACTTCAAGTCACATCTTTGAGTTTCTGTTCTCGATTGCGTTGTGATACATCTCTCCCATCTTGCATTTTTAAGCGAGGCCACTAGTTCAGGATCCGCCTGGTAAGTAGGAAGTAGATCTCCCATGATCCCATCACACCCTCTACCACTACTACTACTAATAGACACCGTTAGTATGATCTACCCAATCCCTGCCAGTTACAGTGAAAAAAAAAAAAAAAAAAAAAAAACAATCATAAATAGAAGTTGTTATCCCCAATTCCAATCTGATAGCTTCACCCTCAAAAGTCAGGTAAATTCCTACCTTACCTGTAACAACCTCCTTGCCTTTACCTACCCTACTCAGCCCAACCCATGACTAGACAGTACCAGTATCGCCCATTACCAACCAACAACTTCTAATCACCAGATGGCTTGCTCCGTGGTCTACGCCACGAGCGCTGACAGGCTCAACATCATCGTCAAGGTTTGTTCTGACCAAGGTCATCCTGAACTTTGAGGGTTGTTTCTGAACCAGGATATCCTTGATTGACCTGACCGACCATGAGTGAAAGTGTGTGGTTGGCTTGGAGAGTATCTTGCACTCAATGATCTAGTTCACCGCATCCGAACACTATTACTTACTTACTTGAACACGTGGTCCACATGTGCTTATGTATGTGTGATGAAATATATGTAAGTAAGCAAGTGGTAGAAACACACTGATTTGTACGGACTATCGCAATCAATTTCCTGCAAGGAACCAAACCCCCAACCACCAACCCATTCAATTTATCATCCGGACGCCGTCCCATGCAAATCATAGGTTAACCCGCATCATTTGTATGTATGTGCAGCATGAGAGCTCAGTCGTGGTCGTGGTCTCGATGCACGAGGGGTGTCTATCTGTTCTAAATAAGTAGCTCCTGGATGGCACCCGACAGACAGACCCAAGCAAAGCGAAGCAAATGAAGATAGTAAAAGGTTAATGCTTTCTCTATTTCGTTGTATTATTATGATCATCTTTCCCTGGAATATTCCCATCTCTCATGTACAGAAGAAAAAGCAAAAGTTGCATAATTTGCCAGCCGCGACGTCTCATGTCCTGCTGACCTGGTCCAGACTGTTGAGCGCGTTCTGAGCTGACTTGACAAGAGCCCGACGCGCATCACGGATCTCCTGCACACCGTCGGGGTTGATGTTGTCCGCATTCAAAAGAACCTGCGCCAGGATTGTCTCCGTCAGCTTCTTATACTCGAACTCGCGCGACTTGGCATCCGCCGGGGTGTTCGTGATGTATTCCTCGCAGAGAGGGACGAGCTCCCGCTGCAGATACGACGACAGGGCGTTCACTTGGTCGATCGGGTTGTTGAACGACTTCAAATTGGGTGCTGGGGGCGGCATGCCGGCTCCGTTGGACGGGCGCGGAGGTTCTTCGGCGGGAGGTGGGAGGCTATTTGAACCGTCGCCTTGCTTTCCGCTCTTCTTCTTATTTTTGCCGTTGCGCTTCTTGTTCTTCGGTTTCTTGCGACCAGATCCCTCCTGACGGGCGGATTCCGCGTTTCTGTCAGCTTCCGCCTCGGACAATTCACTGGGCGAGCTCTCCCCCGGCTCCACTCCGGAGACGACACACAGCACTTCCGACTGTTGTTTGAGACCCTCCGACCGACACGGCAACGAGTCGTTGTCCAACAACTTCCCCTTGTAGAGCAGTTTGATCCGCTTCGGATCAGGGGTGCGCGTCGCCTCCGCTGCCCGCTGTCTCAGTTGACCCACGCTGAGGGCGCCGTCGTTGATAGCGTAAGCCGGGAAGTGCAGATCGTACTTTTCCTTGCGGTGTTTCAGAATAAGAGTGTCGGGCTCGGTGTCCTCCGCTCCTGCGTATTGATTGCGATACGTGTTTGCGGGTGGGTTAACGATATCATCTTGTGTGATGTAGCTGTAGTCGTTGTCGGTGACTTGGGGGGTATTGTCGACGTTGGTGTAACCACGGCGCCACAAGTTGGCGAACGGAGTGCGCCAGGACATGACGAGAATGACAATTGTACAGACGATGAGAGTGTAAGCGACGGGTGTGGTGTATGCGCTGTCGGGGTGGTCCGCTAGTAGTTCGGGCCAAGGCGTAAGCAGGCGCAGGGGAGTCGAGTCTTTGGCTGATGAGAGCGTGGCGACGAGTTGATGGTGGAGAGTGTACAAAGACGGAGGGAGGTTGGTGGTGACGTGGTCTAAGTAGGATGCACACGTCTCGCCCAGCGAGGACAGAGAAATGTGCGAGAGCAGCTGGCTCATGGATTGACGGCCAGGGCACGAGGCAATGAAGGGGGATGACGACAGGGGAAAGGCGTGTTTGAGGTCATGGAAGATGGCCACTTTAGCTCCGGACCAGGCAGATAAGGCGGAGAGGGCTTTTTTTTTTTTGCCGCAGCCGCAAGTCCTGCGGTGGAGCAGCTGCCCGCAATCGGAGTTGCGCAGTCAACTTACTTTGGTGGTACAACTTACTAGTACTTGTTGCTCAAGGCAGACAGACATAGTTACATCCTCCAGTAGTAGTTACTACTACTAATGATCTCCTGACAAGGCTGTTGTGCCTTTCTCATTGCTTTTTCCCCTTCCTCCTCACACGACAAAAAACAACACGAGCCACACCATGTGGTCTTCAAGGCTTACAGGGGAAAAGCATAATCTGCCAAGCCAGTGACTCAAATCTATGTATATTCTCCCCGCCCAGGCATACTCATACTATCTATACTACGATATCACCACTGGAGAAATATACCGCATCAAAGTACTTCGATATAACACCCAACAGACTAAACACAACCAACCTACACACAAGACCCTACATTACCCCCTCTTCTTCATAGGCTACCAGCCCATTTGAACGACCACACGTGGCAATGCACTGCGCACGTCAGATTGGGTTTCATTTTCGCAAAAAAAAAGAAAAAAAAACACCAACCCTTTATTTATTCTTATTTTTTGCTCTTGGAGCCTTATAGGCAGCAAACACTCAGCTGCTGAGTGGCAAAAACAGTTCTAGAGGTGAACAATGAAAGTTACTTACCTACCGATCGACATGATCCAGAACTAAGTCTGGCTATCCATGTCAGACTAACGCTACAAATACGATGACAGGACATTGACCCCGCCCGTCTCAACTCATTCGGTATGATAGTTAGGTACCAGCAGAATACAGTAGTAGTTAGATCAAATTTTTGGCTCGAGAACAGCGACCGGATAGAACATATATTTCAACAAGTGAGATTGGAGAAGTTAAGCCTTAGTGTATATGTACTATGTTGAATTCCTCATCTGGAGTTAGTGTTCTACTTTCTTGAAGGTTACCAAGTGCCAAAGTAATACTGTTCCTCTTACCATTTGCCTAGAACCTTCCTTCATCAGGGCTTATCTATCTATCCATCCATCCATCCTGTGTAAGCACGCCCCCTTGTCTAAGTGATATGCATATGCATTCGATATGACCAGCAGGTGTCAGGTACCTACCTACCTGCTGTATCATGCTTGACATGGGGGTTTTAGCTTACTTGCTTGCTTACCCTGACTCCTGCAGCGTGATCGACATGGCACTAAAACAGGTGAGTGGGTAGCAGGCTATCTAGTATCTAGGTTCCCCCGCAGCCGTTGTGATCGGGAGAGATCATGCTAGATGAGATGAGATAGTTTGAAGATAAAGGTCGATGCTGATGCTTACTGTGATATTCATCGTGTTTTGTTGGGTATCGCTAGTACTGCATTAAGAAATCAGTATGATGCTGGATACTATCTGTGGCTAGATGTGAAGCGGCTGGGGTAGTCTACAAACAAAGTATACAGGATAAGCGCAAAACTGTCATTGAGAGCTATATATACTATGTACATCTATAAACATTACCATGTAAAAGTGTCTACCAGCAACGCCTTCGCCATGCAGCAAGTCAGGTTACATTACCGACCGGTCAGTGTTCTTACAGTCGGACTCCACCAGGTGCTGGTCGACCACCAAACCACCTTGCCAGTCCGCTATCACCCTCATTGCTTTCGCTGCCCATCCATCTGGGAAGACGGAAGGAGTCGCCCTGCAGCCACTGGGGCTTGCTGGCGGTTTCAAATGTGTTCTTCACTCGATGAGCGAAGGACTGGAAAAAGTTATCTTCATCCTCATCTTCCATCAACGGAGTCGTGGCGGGTGTACCTCTGGAGGCCCGAGGGGTTCTAGAACTCTCCAGCAGCGCGGTGCGAGAGGAGGAGAATGCTGGCGCGTCATCGTCAATGCGACTGGACGGGCGAGGTGACCGACCGCCACGAGGGGAGAGTCCCAAAGAGCCGAGGCCGTTGAGCTCCCGGTCGATAAGATCACGCCCCTCTCGCCACCCACCTAGTCCGTAGCCACCGGGGTTGTTCTCCAGATCATCGTCTTCTTCTTCCAGGAGACCCCAGCTGCAGATATTCTGGACGCGACCGTAGAGATTGAATAGGGTGGCACCGATAGGCACCAGAATGAAGACCGGGAAGAAGTAATCAAAGCCCTTTCCGAGCGGGGTAAGATCAATGAACCGGCCCAAGAACTTGTAAAAAGTAGTGTTCTGCCGGACGGTCGCAGGCAAAAAGGTCAAGAAGTTGTAAGCGATGGGAACCGTCAGTCTGGCGACTAGCCCCGCATACCAACAGGCGCTCTCCCCGTACGTGTTTCGGCGGACCAAAGCACGGTTGCCCCACACTTTGGCGTCGTTCACACCCACTAATGCTGCCGAGCACATGTACAGCAGCCAAGCAGAGGCAATCAATTGGCGCCCAAAGTCAACCGGCGCAGGCTCCTTGTGGTAAGAAACTATAGAAAGCGTCACAACGGATAGCCGAGGCGCCAAGGACTTGACCAACTCCGACCAGACAACGCACACGGAGGCCGCCGAGAAAACTGCGCCTAGTGCAAGTCGTACGTTTGGAATGACATGCACATAGAGGTGGTAGCGCATATAGGGACTCAGGAAGTTCAGGCTCGGGAGCCAAGATGATCGATGGGGGGAGTGAATAAACTCGAGCTTCTTAGATGCCGACGCATTGATAATTGCCTGCATGTCCGCTGCGGATAGGACCAAGCGATCCCACTCATCGACGAAGCGAGCCTTCTGATGCCGAGCGCGCTGAAGACGTCGGGTCAAGTCCGCAAGGTAACGTTCAGTAATGACGGCAGGGATAGTGCCGGGCCCGTCCGCATGTTCCAAGAGCCCCGAACGCAGCTCGGGCGGGTTCGACGTCTCTGCCAATTCATCGATCCATTCCTGAAAATCACGAGCGGTGCCCGTTTTGCGACGCTGCAATTGAGCAACTTGCGACTCCAAGCTTTCCAGGTCGTTAATGGCGTCCATCAAACGGTCGTGCAGTTTCGGAGCATGTGCTTGGATTCTTCGCAGACGACCACTGACGTTGGAGTTACGGAAGAGCGTGCGGGGAATGGACACAAGTCCGTGACCCATCAGATAGATGGCCAGAACCAGACCCCAAACATATGCAAGAGCCATCACTAGCGTCTTAATCGAGGTGAATTCAAAGCCATTCTGGATCGAGATGTAGATTAATCCGACCGTTGCACAGCACAGAACAATCAGTTGGTACCGCGCATTGGAACGAATAGAATATTGAATGCGACCCTTCGGATCACGGTAGCCCGAATCAATGTATTCTCCGAGTAAAGGAAGGATGGCCCTGAGAGGAAGTAAAGCGTTAGTGATTGATCTAGATTGTGACGGTTGCGACCGGACACATCGTGCTGCACATCACCTACCATGTCAGCACAAAGATTAGCCAGTAAGCAATGCGCCAGGAGACGAGAATTAGACGGTCGGGTAGCCAGATGGCCGTGGGGCCTCCGCCATCGCGCGAACTCGATGCTAGATCAATTGGTACTAGAAGAACTACACTGGCCGGAAGCGCGAGTGCAAGGAAGACGGGGATGGAAAGGTAGGCCGGAGTCGCGCGGAGAGTGAGAAAGCGTCGCAGAAGTAACAAAACTAGCACAGAGATCGTAAGGAGGGCCAAAGTAAAAAAGACGCTGGACCCCACGGGAACCGGTGATGCGGAAATCATGGCGATTCTGGAGGGGCGTTCGACATGCGGCGGCGGAGGAAGGAGGTAGTAGGAGTAACTAGTCGTAGTATGGGGAAATCCAGGGTCTTGATCGATCGGATCAGTCAATCAATAATAATCATCGTAAGTCAATTTAAAAGAGAGACTGTTTGACCCAAGAGATCCAGGGGGGTTGCAGAAGCATGCAAAGAAGCTTTTGGGGGGCTAGACAGGACGCGGAAAAAAGGGACCGGACAGACAGAGAGGTGATAATGGAAACGAGGACAGTTTTATGGATCATCTCATTTCCCAAAGCTCGTCGTTGTTGGTCGATGCTAATCAAAGTGCATCCGTCTGGTGACGACAGCACCCGCGTCACGTGGTATCACCTGACGTGTCCCGCTGCTAAAAGAAGCAACAGGCGGACGAGTACTTTTAAGGCACTGTTTAGTCAGGTCCACTTGGCTGACGCTTTTGTCCGCATTCGACACTAGCCTGATGGATACGGACGGATGATCACGGCGGTGCCTGCGATCGACTCCGTACCTGGTCGGTCACCCGTGGGGGAGTTGAAACGGGAAGGATGGAAGTTCTCACGCTGGGGTGTTGTGAAATGAGATATATCATCCCATTTCATTGCTTGATTTTTCTTAGAACATGACTGCCCTATATTTTCAGAGTTGTAGAGTGGCATGGTTAATACCTCATCCTATGAAGTGCAGTCCGACATGCAAATGCAATACTGATCCCGACTAGCCCGAAGCACCGTGTGTTTCAGCCGCCGCTTTCCCTGCTCACTTATTCTTTCCTCTTTCTACAATGAAGGTTGAAGGAACACCTTACCTTCATTCTACCCGCCACCCAAACTCTGTCCTTAGTTGTAGAAAGAACACTCCCCCAAGGTTCATGAACAAGATCTCTGAACGCAGAGATATCGATGTTAGCTTCGACTTCGTCGTGATCAGGGGAACTGTGAGATGAAGAGAGTGTTGTGGAACATGTTTACATGTATAGTAATCTGATTCGAAGGATGGAAATTGAAGAATGGAAAATGACCCAAATTGTCAATTGATAGAAATGGATTGGAAGGGGGGAGACAGCATTGACACCCGCAGTCGCCCTAGTGAGTAGGTCGTACGGTCGACTGGAAGATGGCCATGGCTTCTATTCGCGCATCGGGACTTAGTAGTCATTTTTGGTCTGCCGCGTACGGACGCTATGTGCTATTACTTCATTTGGCTCAGTGTCTGCAAGGTAGACACTCACTTTATTGAGCTAGCAATGGATAGACCGGAAAGCAACAACCGGAGCGTAAAGATCAAGTATTGTAGGACAGTCCTTGTTACCGCACTTCCATCTGCACAGACAGACAGCTTGGTTCTGACTCCTGTTGGGAATTCTACATACTTGAATAAATTATTTGGACGCAGGAACATCCATCGATTGTTGACACGACTTTGGATGTAATGCAGTGGACCCAAGCTGAGAATGATTGCCAGTTAGTTCATCTGACTTCAGCTCGCCCTCTTTGAATATTAGTGCAGGTTATCTACTAGTAGACTGCTATCTATCTAGTTCCTGGGTAGGCTATCGTCCGACGGAACCAGAGGGATTGCCAGTAGTGGGGCAAAGAGTACACACGCGCCTCTAGAAAGTCCGATTGAGTAGCGGTAGGAATTATGGATGGAACCAGGCAGCCGCTTTCGTAGTAATACTCATATTATACAGGAGAGACAACCTCCCATTTGGTAGACCACTTACCGACTCGGTGGATATTTCACTTACTTAGGGTGTGAGGACATCCGTATTCGATGCGGAAACATCCAGACAAAAAAGAGCCTTTTTTGTTTCCAAAGGTTCATGCACACTAATTGGGTGAAGGTATGGGGGGTTGGAGGGGGGAGGGGACCTGACCAACCGACTACTAACTCCTTCAGGCTGTGTACTACCACTAACTAGAATGGTCGACCCCTGTGCGGGATATTGAGAGCATTGGAAGAGTAGGGTGGGAAAAAAAGTAAAGAACAGAAAAAAAGAAATGAGAGGAAAAGAAAGAAAAACATGAAGCATTGATTCGATGCGGAAGGTCTGCGAAACCAACATTTCTTGGCCTGACAGACCTTGCGTCCCTTTCAGCCAGTCACCCGGACCAGGCCATACGGTACTAGTAAGTAGACGGATAGTTAGTAAGTAGTAAGTAAGTAAGTCAGTAGTTCAAGTCACCTTCAGTCAGTCACTCAATCAATCAGTCAAGAGTCAGAGCCAGTCATGATGAACTGAAAATGGGCAGCAGGGGACCGGTACCGAGAAGGAAAAGATGGCCCGCTTTGGTCCTCCCCCCCATCTCTGCAGCCGTCATTTGCACGACACCCAACTCTCTTTTCTTCTATCTTGTGAGGAAGAATCCATGGATGGAGACCGGGTCAGAAGATTGAGAAAGGGACAGTCATTACATTGACTTATTGGATGAAAGAATAAAGAAGAGTATTGATTCGATACAAAGTACTAGTTAGTCAGTTAGTTAGATAGTTACTTCTACTTAAGACTACATACTGGTAATTATTCTCTGAAAAAGTATCTATTGCTTTTACTTACATCTCTTTTTTAAAATACCAAGCGACGGGAAGAGGGTGTACCTTAAGCAGGCAGCCCACTCTGGACCTACGGCAAGTAGAAAGATACCCACTTGGTCCTAGTTGAGGGACTAATTAAGTTTCCCTAACCTTGCCCGACCGACGACGAGCACCAACGGGCAGATCCCCAAGAAGGGCCTTGGGAAGTCTAGTACCTGTTAGTCTGGCTCCCCTCGGCCACACTAACCCAAAACCTCACGCCTTAGGCAGACCACTCCCATCAATTGCTCAATTACCTTACCGTTACCATCATCCAAACTTAGACTTCCTTAACCCCAGCACAGCATCGCCTGTCCTCCTCCTCCCTCTTGCCCGCTCGTTTTCTCCCTCCTTCAAGCGGGATCTTCAACATTTCTTGCCTGCTTCCTCCTCCTCCCACCTTCAATCTCCCTTAACCACACCCCCTCTCTATCTCCTCATTCTCCCCTTTGTTACCCATATATTGGGATTTGTCGAGGTTATTATATTCTGTTGTTATTTTTTGTCTTTTTATATTTTCTTTCCAAAAGATTTCTCTTCCTTTTTTTAAGTCTTGTTATTTTTTATTTCCTTTTTTTATTATATTTTCCTTTTTCTTTTTGTTTTTTACCCACTCAATTTTACCTTCTTCATAACCCGGCTATTCCTCCCTTCCTAGTCTAATTCCCTGGTTTCGCGATCTCCGCCTTTCCCACCCTCTCACTCACTCTCTCTTTACCACTCGAGTTTCTCAGACCGATTCCTCTCTGGCTGTTTATTTCCTTTCTCATTGACCACACACACCTCCTCTCTCTCTTTTTTAAACTATTGCTATTACTATCACTATTCTCTTCGACCCTTTTTTTCCTTTTTCCTCGTCTCATTTTCTCTACATCTAATCCTGCCCTCCCAGCTGACACGCTTGTCGAACACGCCACCGTGCAGCTGGTTATCGGGTTACCTGTCTTACTGTAAACTCAGGTATGATGATCCCCTTCTTGACTCTAGCGTCCTCCTCTTTCCGACCGTTCGGCTTTTTGCGCACTTCTGCATTCATTCACTGCCAAACCAGAACGCTGGAAATTTACTGCCCTGCTGGATGCTTTTGCCTTTCTCTTTCTTCTCTTCTTCCTCTTCTTCTTCTTCTTCTTCTTGTTCTTCTTTTGTAATATCGCAGCAACATCCTAACTTGTTCATTTTTCCTCCTTCCCGCTTAGGTTTCCGAAATTACCTCGTCATTTCTCCCCGTCCTGCCACCCATCTTCCCAACTCTTAGAGCCCCGGGAAGCTCCATAGTCATCGAGACGAACGGCTCTGCACTCACTGGCCCAGTGCCACTGCAACATCCCTGTCACTGATCCAGCATCCACCGGACTCAATCCTGCTTAGTCTGACAACCCCCCCCAAGCCACTCCCCCGGGCATCTGCCAACGAAACCGCTCTGTCTGAACACTGGTGCCCGAACGCCTTGTTTCCCTGCTGCGTTGGTCCCCCGTGTTCTACCGCCGTCCCGTGCTTGTTCCTATTGCTCGTCTTCTTTCGTTTCACCCCCATCTACCTACCTGGATTTACAGCGAAAGCCCACGCCGCAACCAACTCAACAGTCTCGGACGCGATCAACCTGCGACGAGACTCATCTGCATCGTCTTCCCGTTTTGCTTTCTCTCGTGCCCCCTCAGGCCCCACCGCCGGTCTCATCCCACATCTCTCTCGCACCGACGACGTCTGCTGGAAGAGCGCCCGTCTACTTTGACTTACAATTTCGTCTATCGCATCGTTTAGCGCTTGGCATTGACGCCGGCGAATGCTGACACCCACGGACGGCTTGCGCGGACTACTCCTCGATCCCCATTGAGGGGGGTTGTTGACATGAATCCGGCAAACTTCCCCAATGTTGGCGGGGCCATGAATGGCGGAGTTAAGCCGCATGGCCAAATGCAACGTCCGACAAAACCTGAGAATAACCAAATAATCCTCCAGCAAGTCGCACAGGCGCTGCAGGCACAGGGTCAATATTCCGGTTGGCGAGCGGATGTTCCCATCAGAGAGCGAGCACTCAAGGTGTACCAAATGTAGGTTCCCACCATGCGCATCCCTGTCGTCACTAACCCGACTCAAATAAATATACTTGCACCCCTCCCCCTCCTTTCATTCACTAAGAAGTGACTGGTGCCTCCGCTAATCCATCACCTCCTAGGATCACCTCACTGGGTTTAATTCAGCCTCGTATAGACATGCAGAATGCTGCGCATGCTGCCTTGACCTTCGAACAGAAGGCATTCAAAGAGGCTGGCCAGAAGGTAGATACTGTTACTTCCCTTTATCTTGTGTTACGTGGGCTCTAATCATGGCGTCTCTCAGGCCGATTACGAAAGGGAATGCAATGAGAAGCTCCTTCATATTCGCGATACTCGTGCAAGACAGGCAGCCGTAATGCAAGGTGGGATGATGCCCCAAGGGCAAGCTATGGGAATGCCTGGATTGGGACAGCCGCCATTCAACCCGCAAATGAATCGCCCCGTGCAAGCATCGCCTTTGCCCGGACAACAACAAATGTCGATGGGCATGGGTGACATAAACCAACAAGCTGCAATGCAACACCGCCAGCAAGCGCAGCAGCAACATCAGAACATATTACAGCAACAGCGCCCGCAACAAAAGCCTGCGAATGGGGCAGCGCTTTCGGACGATTTAAACACCCTTTCCGCTTCCGAGTACGAACAAGTCTGTCGCATAGCTAGTCAGATCATCTCGAAGACCTCGCCAGAGGATCTGGAGAAAATCAAGATGAACCTGCAGAACATGACGCCCGAGCAGCGGGGGTACTTGCAACGGAAAAACATGGACCCGATCACTTACTTCTTTCGCTCTCAGGCGCTCAACCAGTTGAAGAGGTTTAAGAAAAATCGGGGTGATATTCGCCCGCCAGGTGCTGGGGTTGATCCCAACGGTGCCATGATGGGCGACCCCATGATGAACACACAGCGGCATATGTTTCAGAATATGATAAACGCACAACGCAACTCCTTCTCGGTAGGCAGCCAGCAAGGCTTGGATCCGTCGTCGTTCATTGGAAATGTTGAGAACATCCAGGGACAACAGGCCGATGGGTTGCGCTCTCAGGAGGCAGGCCAACTTGTGGTGCCCGCGAGCTCCTCCCAGATGAATCAGCAACCATTCACGACGCCGCAGAATATGTTCCAAGTCGGACAGCAGCTTGGCCAGGGCGCGCAGGCAAATATAAACGGCTCTGGAATAAGCCCACAGTTTCTAGCCCAGCAGCATGTGCAGAATGCACAGACTATGCCGCAGGATAGATCTCAACAAGCATCTCAGTTCCAGGCGCAGCCACAGCCACAATCCCAGTCAGCGCAAGACCAAGCACGGGTGCAAGCAGCTGCCAAAGTACAATTCGCAATGTCTCAAAACCAACCTGGCGCGCGAATGCAGCATCAAATGTCCCAACAAAGCCCGGCTATGCCCATGTTGAATCGGCCAATGGCTCCAGGTCAGATTTCTCCGCCACAAGGAACAGCGCAAGTCCGGCCTCCGTCCCGACCCCAGGGAATGGGACAACAGCCTGGGAACATTCAGATGAACGGACAACCGTCTATGCAAAGACCACCGATTCCACCTAACCTCCCCCCGCAAATCCAGGAGCAACTTAATTCGATGAGCAACGAACAGTTAAGCGCATTTCTTATGAACCATCAACGGCGTGCGCTGGCAAACAACCAGGCCCTGGCTAGGGCAAACGCCTCGCAGCAGTCCATGCCCATGCAGCAGAATCTATCGCAGTCGAGTCAAGGCCAGCAGATGATCAATGGCCAAATAATGAACGGCCAGATGCAAAATGGGCAGAACCTACGAGCGTCTCTTAATTTGCAACAACAACTTGCGGGAATGGGTGGTGCCCAACAGCCTAACCAGATGCTGCCAGGTCAGATGTCCGTCCAACAGCGACAGCAACAGCAGCAACAGCAGCGCCAGCAGGATCTCTATAAGCTTCAACTTCTTCGTGCGCATAGCGGCGGTATGGAGATGTCTCCCGAGCAGGTCAAAGAAATGGATCGATTGCACTTTCCGCCCGCGATATTGAGCAACAATCCGAACATCTCCTCGGCTGTTCCGAAAAACATCAAGACCTGGGGTCAGCTGAAGCAATTGGCGGCCACAAGCCCGCAACTGCTGGGAGGCGCCGACATCACGAAGCTGCTGGCGTTGCAGAAACTCCATCTCGCTCAGATTCTTGCTCAGTCCAAAGAGAATGCTCGCAACCCCGAACAGGGTGGACAAGGCCCTTGGATGCCGACACCGTTCCAGGGGCAGCCGCAGCCTTTGATGAACCCACAGCTTCAAGCTGGCCAGCAGCAGATGCCAATGAATATGCCGGTTATGCGTCCCATCTCCGCGCAAGATATACAATTGGCCCGCCAGCGTTTAGGCAGTCAGGTGCAGAACCTGAGCGATGATCAACTCCGCGAATTGCTGCATAGAAACCGACAGAAGCAAATACAGGCGGCCCAGAGTCGAGCGGCCCAGGCTCTTGCCGCCCAACAGGCACAACAACAATCTCTATCAGTACCGCAGCCCCCGGTTACTGTGCCGCCCTCGATGCCTCAAGTCAAACCGGAGCCGCAGCCCTCACAGCAAACGGCGCAGCAGCCCCAGCAAAATTCTACTACAAAGGCTCAGGCCCAGTCTGTGCCGTCTGGCAAGAATGCGAAAGGGCCTGTCGCAAAACAAGCACAGAAAAGGAAGTTGCCACATGATGAGTCTGCAGAATCTCAGCCCACTCCAGAACAGAAACCCGCTCCTCCCGCTCCTTCTCAGGCGGGAGCAACCCCTACACAGGCAAAGGCGAATATGCTTCTCACTCGCGAGCAATTGGCTGCTATGACGCCCCAGCAACGCGCACAGTTCGAGGCACATTTGCGCCGGCAGCAATCTCAGCAACCTCAAGGCCGTGTTCCCATCAGCAGAGCGCATGCAGAGGAACAATGGAACAAGTTGCCAGAAAAGTTAAAGCAGTTGTACAACGAAATTGCTAGAAACACTCCTCCAGGGGAGCCTGTATCCATTACGCCAGAGCAAAAGGCAACCATGGCGCAACAGTTGCGGGAGATCACTGACTACCTAAGTAAAATGGATAATCTTATTCAATTTCTGGCTACTAAAATTCCCGGACAAGAGAAGAATGTGCACAGTTTGCTTTCAATGGTGAGTTATGCGATTGCCTTCCCTTTCCATTATATGTGAGGTTCGTTCATAAACTGACGATGCTTTCCAGCGGGTCTACTTAATGAGGCAATTCAAACCAGGGCCTGATTGGACTCTCAATGACCAGTTCACAATTTCGCCACAATATCTGGGGCTCTACACTGGTTCCATCAAGAGGCTGTTCCATACCATGATTGCGCGCGTCAACCAACAGATGCCAGGCCCACGGTTTAGCGTCTCTCAGGGAGCACCTGCGCAACAGGCCAGCCAACCCAACATGCCCGCCCTGAACGCAAGCAATCTGCAGCAATTGCAACAGCAGGAGGAAGCACTTCAGCGTGCCCGCCGAGCCTCCAGCCAGACTGTTCCTGGCGCTGCTGCCATCCCGCAAGCCCCGTTTGGAGCGCCTTCTCCTCAAGGTGTTCCCCATGCCTATGGCCCGGGTAGCGTTCCTCCGGAACAGCTGAAACTTCCTCCCCCCAAGAAACGCAAGCAGTCCCAAACCGGAGCTACACCCGTTTCTGCGGCGCCAACTTCCAAGGCGCAGGCAGGAAAACCGGCCGATGCACGGACGAGCGGTGCAGCCTTGGGTGGGGCATTTAAGTGTAGTATCCCCGAGTGTCAGCATCACTACCAAGGGTTGGCGACGCAAAACGCCTTGGACAGGCACGTCGCAGAGGCTCACCAGGTTGAAGAGCCCATTGAGAACCCGCTGGAGTTCGCTTTGGAGAGCTACCGCACCTGTCTCGTGAAGGACGAGGATAAGAGTGGGGCTCCGGACCTGAAGAGCATCCCGCTTGTGAATGGTAAGGTCGTTGCAACCTCGTCACCTTCAAAGCACGAGGTTAAAGTCGAGGCGGCCACTCCAGTGCCCACAAGTGCGGCCACCATGGGGCGAGCTCCCAGCCAAGTAGGACCAAAGCCTAGTTCGCCAGCATCGAACCAACAATTGACGCCTCGCACGTCCACCGCCAAACCGGCAATGCCATCTCCCCTCAAGCCAACCGCCGGCAAAGACGGCAAGAAGGAGCCGGCCAAAATGGCTGAGCCAGGGCCCTCTGCGGACGCAACTCCCCAAGATCCATGGGCAAACAGCGCGATCTCTCTCGACGCGATACAGGATACCTTCATGGAGTTCGCCGATGACGGCGGCCTTGGATTCGGTGCTATGGATGAATTCCTTAACCCTGAGATGTTTACCAACACGCAAGCGAAAGACACCCCGGATTCCGTTGAAACTGGCCTCGTAACCCAAACACCCAAGGATACCGAGCTTCCGAAGACGGATGATCTCAATGGTAAGACCGAAGGGAGTGAGGGCAGCTGGCTTCCAG